GTCCATGAAGAGACATGCTCACTGTTGGTTGTTGTGGCTGCAGGTCTGATAATTGATGCTTTTGGAGAGCTGAGAGACCAACAGGAGCAAGTGAAAGAGGATATGGAGGTGAGAGACTTTGGTTTGCATCTATAGTGCAGGTCAGCAGAGGACAATTTTTGAATATATTATCTATTTTTTTCTCAGACCAAATGTTTCATCTGTGGTATCGGTAATGACTACTTTGACACGACGCCTCACGGCTTTGAGACACACACCTTACAAGAGCACAACTTGGCCAACTACCTGTGAGTATCCCTCTGTATCTAGACTGGATGTAACCCAGCACTTTAAAGCTAGACTTTTTCGTCTGAAGTATCAATGAGCCGACATGTCTTTTGTCTTCCTGCATCTTTATACCAACTTGTTTACTATTACGTCACCTGATTGATGGCTTTTACACAACAGTAGATGGTATCTGGTATCTGTGCCCAAGTTAAAATACCAGCAGTGCCTCATAGTGCCAGCCTCCTTCCCCCTCTAGGAGCTCAGTGCTCATCTGTTGTTTATCTGTGTGAGTTAGCTGGACAATAGGAAGCCATGTGGCCTTAATCTGCCTGCTTAGTCAGCTGGAGGAGGCTGTGACGCTAACCTCATTAGCTCATGCTGTTTAAGCTGCTTGGAAAATAGGTGTGTGATATTCTCTCATGCATCGTACATATTGATTTGGTGGTGGACAGACTCAATAATCTGATTGTTGCTCTATGCTTGAGGATAGGACACGTGGATGATTGATAAGATCATCAAGAACTATAACATTATGCTTGAATTAGCCTTTTATTCCCTCCTGCTATATCTATTTGTAGTTCTGAAAAGGTCAGTTCTTTGAATGTTGAATGATACTAGTGAACCATGACCGTGGATAAGTGGTAATTTTCATGTCTCGCCATTTTGCTTGACAGGTTTTTCCTGATGTACCTTATCAACAAAGATGAAACAGAACACACTGGCCAGGTATGGAGCTTGTTACCCTTTTGTCCCCTTTGTCCTGAGAAAATGTTGCTTGTCATTTCAGGAACCAAAGGTTACTATATATTGACCAGTCTGTTTGTCTGTCTGCTTCCTCCAGGAGTCATACGTGTGGAAGATGTACCAGGAGAGGCAATGGGACTTTTTCCCTGCTGGAGACTGTTTCAGAAAGCAGTATGAGGATCAGCTTGGATAGAGCTGACAGACAGGATTGCAGTCCTACAGAGAGCCACTCCAGGTCCACTCCCACTTCCTCTTAACAGCTGAGGACGGTTGGTAACCATTCACCGCCTATTGCCTCCTCGAAATGTGTGAGACTTACTAGAGGAGAGGGGAGATGCTATCTTTCGTATAACGGAATAACCAGTTTCACATCAACATCAAATGTACCTGTACATGTTACCTTTGGTACAGTGCCAACCTCCAAGAGAGTTACTTTATTTCAACCTGCCCAGACATTTGATTTCAGTTTGGTACTATTTTTTCATTGTTTTTTGACAACGTGTTGCCTTTTCCTCCACATAACCCCAAACCATTGCACAAATGTTTGTCTTTTTGAGAAACACTGGGTTGTGTGGGGTTATGGGACAACGTGTGAGTCTGGGCCCATCCTAATATGCACAAGAATACTACTTCAATATTTCAAGAATGTTGAAAATTAAAATGACACTTATGCCAAAAGATAGGGGGAATAGATTTATACAGAGAGCAAATGTGATTTAAGAAAGTTTTTTAAATGTTGTTACAGTAACGTGCATGCAGAGATTAAGTATTGAATATAGAGGACTTGACCAGGTGAAGGGTTTTAGTATATGATGAAATGCCTAAATCAAGTACTGATGAAGTGCCTTATCTACATTACGACAGAGCTATGCAAAAGCAGTAGTTTTCCTGGATAGCTGTTCAGAGTCATTCATTAGTTTGTGGCTTATGTTTTTCATTTGAAAAAGTATGAACAGTGTTGAGTTTTTTGCCAACTGCAGCATCCTAACTGCAAATGTACATGGTACAAAGAGCTTAAATGACACACGTCTAAGTATATCACATGTCAGAATTTATTAAACACCCAAAAAAAAAAAAAATGCTATTGTATGGCCATTTGTATGTAGTAACGTTGCTGAACCGTGCATTTTTTCTGAAGAAAAATAAATAAAGAAATGAATGCAATTAATGGAGTCTCTTCACACTGTTTATTTTAGGATTTTATACTTATTTTTTTGCTATTGTTAAGGACAGAGGACAGTTGAAGTCGGAAGTTTACATACACTTAGGTTGGAGTCATTAAAACTTGTTTTTCAACCACTCCACAAATGTCTTGTTAACAAACTATAGTTTTGGCAAGTCGGTTAGGACATCTACTTTGTGCATGACAAAAGTAATTTTTCCAACAATTGATTATTTCACTTATACAGTGAGGGAAAAAAGTATTTGATCCCCTGCTGATTTTGTACGTTTGCCCACTGACAAAGAAATGATCAGTCTATAATTTTAATGGCAGGTTTATTTGAACAGTGAGAGACAGAATAACAACAAAAAAATCCAGAAAAACGCATGTCAAAAATGTTATAAATTGATTTGCATTTTAATGAGGGAAATAAGTATTTGACCCCTCTGCAAAACATGCCTTAGTACTTGGTGGCAAAACCCTTGTTGGTAATCACAGAGGTCAGACGTTTCTTGTAGTTGGCCACCAGGTTTGCACACATCTCAGGAGGGATTTTGTCCCACTCCTCTTTGCAGATCTTCTCCAAGTCATTAAGGTTTCGAGGCTGACGTTTGGCAACTCGAACCTTCAGCTCCCTCCACAGATTTTCTATGGGATTAAGGTCTGGAGACTGGCTAGGCCACTCCAGGACCTTAACCCTCCCGTTGTCCTAGGGTCAAAATGACCCGCCACTGTGTTGAACCAACTTTATTTAATTTTTATATTTTTTGGATCATTTGTGAGAAGGAGGCAGTGAGACTTTAAAGAAAGTATCACTGCCTCCTTCTCACAAATGATCCAAAAAATATAAAAATTTAATAAAGTTGGTTCAACACAGTGGCGGGTCATTTTGACCCTAGGACAACGGAAGGGTTAATGTGCTTCTTCTTGAGCCACTCCTTTGTTGCCTTGGCCGTGTGTTTTGGGTCATTGTCATGCTGGAATACCCATCCACGACCCATTTTCAATGCTCTGGCTGAGGGAAGGAGGTTCTCACCCAAGATTTGACGGTACATGGCCCCGTCCATCGTCCCTTTGATGCGGTGAAGTTGTCCTGTCCCCTTAGCAGAAAAACACCCCCAAAGCATAATGTTTCCACCTCCATGTTTGACAGTGGGGATGGTGTTCTTGGGGTCATAGGCAGCATTCCTCCTCCTACAAACACGGCGAGTTGAGTTGATGCCAAAGAGCTCCATTTTGCTACAGAGTATTGTTGGTCAGTACTTGTCCAGTCGTAGCTGGGTGCAGGGGGCATGCAGGACATCAGCAGGCTGGCTCCCTGCCTTGGCCGATGGGAGTTTTATCCATATTACCCACGTTGCCACCTGTCAGTTCGTATTATGTCCCTCCCACCTCAGTACCACACTGGGCTGCAGCCTGGCATCCCTCTTAGCACACAGCCATCCCTCTAACCAGCCTTACCACCTCTGACATGTTTTTAAATCAATGTTGGTGAAGCTTTCTAAAGAGTGAATTACCATATCAAAATCCCTGAAATTATAACAGTGTTCAATAATTAGACATAATGAGAGCAGCAGGAAACCATTCTGGCTAATTTAAAATATTGTTGAAGCGATTAAATTACCGGAGACAAATTATACCCATGAAATGTTAATTCTCCATTTCACTCCTTTTGTGTTTAATTGTCTCAGTCTGAGGTCCCAGCAGTTGTTGATATTGTGTGTGTGTGAAATGATGGTTGTGAAAACAGTGCCATGGTAGGGGGGCTCATCTCCTTCTCTGTGGTGGAATCATTAGTTCTGTAATGACACACTGCTATTAAGCTGAATCCTCAATTAAACTGTCATCCTGAGAGAGCCATTTAATTAACTGATCGAATGTGGAGACCTTGGAGACATACAGTATGACTGGCTATGGCTATGCTGTCCACAGCAGAATGTATTTATTGTGTATAACAGACCATTGTCCTTCTCTCGCATGAAACAAGGGCACGCCCACCTCCACCACCACGACATGACACAGAGAACATGAAGATTCAAAGCACCTGCTACACGGCCCATTTCAGAGTACCTAAACCTGCAACTAAGAACAGCCTATGGATGCTACGGCTGGCATGGCTGGGAATCGATCACGCAGCACTCTGTAACATCGCAGATTGCCTGATCAATGAGCCACCAGCAGAACACAACCCACAGGAGCTGAGCCCACACTTTTTTACCTCATTTTCTGTGACCTCACGCACCCTTGACCAGCAAGAAGTGACCATGTCGTTATCTCCCTGATGGGAACAGAGAGAGGAGTGTGACTGGCCGGTGAGGAGCTGGGATATTAACAAGGCCATTATCATGTTTCTTGTCACATCTCAGAGCACCCAGGGTCTGACCACCTGCTCCGTCTGGTCATTCAGCAGGACACACCGCAGGACGCCAGATGACGAGGGACATTGACCATGCTCAGGGGACATTCCACTTCATTTAACCACACTCCTATTCAAGACCTGGAACCACTTGACTCAAATATTTCCAAGCCACTTTAGGAGTATTATTGTGAGAACTGAATAGTTTTAAATAGCCAAGAGAGAACTATAGAAATGTGTAAAAATCGTAATACCAGTATCTTGTTTATTTTTCCTGAAGCAGAAATAGATATGCCTACAGTGGTGACAATTTTTTATTTTTTTATTTTATCTATAGATGGATTAAATAGATTCAGTGGGAAACAGAAAAAGTTGGGCAACACACAACTAATAACCACATTTTGACACCTATTTGTCTTTCTACGAGGATCCCCCACAAATAGCTCATTGTTCTGTGTGTAAAGCTGCTGCATGCTGTTCCCCCTAGTATCCTTCTGGTGGTCTCTGCTGTGCCGCGACAGAGACAGAGACACAGACAGAGGACAGCAGAAGAATGAGACACACTCTGCTCTGTCACCTGCAGCTGTTGGGTACCTGCAGAGCAATCTGGCCCAGCCTTGCGCTGCTGAATACTGTCCCCACGCTATATCCTGCTGCCTCTCTCAGGGTTCTCAACCGACAGTATCATCCGTCAGATAAACACCATTAGTTCAGCTTCAATCATGTTGTACTGTAGCAGCAGAGGAGAAGTGGAAGTAGAGCATTTTGTGTAATTAATCTTGGTTCAATTAATGAATTCCCTATTCATTAATTCCCGATCATAACCTATTAAGCCATCATTACAGGCATAGAGATGACTGAATTTAGCTCACTCATTGAGATACGATGTGTCTCTTTCCTCTGGCTTTATTGACATCAATACATGCATTTTGTCAACCTGTCGTTTGTGTTTGGTGGGAAATTCCAGGAGATTTGCGATTATGTTAACTTCTGCTAAAGTGGACGGCTAATTGGTACAGATTACCTTCATTTAAAGTCTTAATTACAGCTCAAAGCGCAGGGGGGACTGAACGAAGGAAGAAGGAATGTTTTGCAATCAAAGCATGTGTTTGATATTAATCTTAGGCCATGCACAGAACTCATACAGTAATTTTCAGTAAGAAGAAGGGGCTATTTGTGAACAGAGATGATTAAAATGGTAGTTAGGATAGGAGATATACTCTACACGGTTTACCCTTGTGAAGGTGAATGACCTGAAACACAGGAGCTTAATCTGGAGAGTATGTTCTATGTGCAGATTGGCACTGCACTGACATTGTAAAAAGAGGTTAAGCACATCAATTGTAGACTATGAAAGTATTTGTGACTGTACAGCAGGGTTCCTCAACTTGCAGCCCATGGGTCATTGTTAAAATAATTTGTAATGTTTTGGGACATGAAAGACAGTAAAACAACAGCAAATCAGCTCCAAGTGATTTTAATTTAGGAAATCTGTTTCAAAGTATTTCCATGCATAATAGAGAGATATGTGATCGTATACAAATATAAGCAAGGTTTGAAATTATTATGTTTTAGTCAAATATTATATCTGTTTGGGCTTCTTGCGGTCAATTTGCAGTCTACAAATTATTTGTCATTATGTTCCGGCCCCCGACCATCCACGCAAGAAAAAATCAGCCCGTGGCTGAATCTAGTTGATGATCCCTGGTAAACAGTATTACTGTGTCTGGATGCTGGGTGCTGTGCGTATGTGCATTGTGTTTGTTTGTGTGTGGCACTGGGCACTGTCTGAGCTGACGGGGTCCCCTCTGTCTATTCGTAAAAATAGAGCAATACAGTAGAGTAGAGAGACAGACAGAGGGATGATGCTGCAGTGTAGAGGAAGACAGAAAGGTGCGTTAGATTGAAGAGATCCAAGGATTACACTGTTTTAATTCTATATTTCCCTTATCGGATCTCTTCTTTCTTTCAGAGTGCATATTTGCTGTGACTTCTCATATGGTCAGTGCATTCTAAGATGTGATTTAACAGGATTGCAGGCTCATGGTGGGTTCGATCCCAGCGTTGTCCTAGAAATTGAAGTAATTATGTAAGTGCTCTGCGCAACTGGGTAAATCCTCACATCCGCTCGGGTCGTGACCCTGCTGCCTCAGGGACTGGGCCTGGAGTTGATGTACTGTACAGTATGCCTTATTATGTTTGAGACACAGTTCCACAGTGACACATTATACAGTCGGACTGGTATCTTCTCTTTCCTGCAGGATGTCAGATCTTTCTTCCTCATTTACATAGAGGGCAGGGGGCAGTAAAGCTGACTAGTGGAGAGTAATTCACCCTAACATCATTCGATCCCAGGGTAGTCAATTTGGTCAAACCGATTGGGCACAAACTGGTTGAATCAATGTTGTTTCAACGTAATTTGTCAATGTATTATGATGTGGAATCTACAGTATGAGGAAAATACATTGGATTTGAAAAAAGTCATCAACTGTTGTTTTAAGCGTGAAATTTCAACCACAGGATTATGTCGTCACGATAACCAAATTTCAACAGAGACAATGTATAAAATATGTTTAATTTGTACCTTTAAAACAATGTCAGATCTTCAACGTCATATCCAATATCAGGAAAAAAAAACTATAGGCTGGGGAGTACCTCCTACCGGATAATTGATCTATCTAGAGCTACCCTTTGGTCTCCCATCCAGTGTTTTCACTAAGCCCTGCTTAGCTATGATATTTTACCAATGTGCTATTGTGAGAATGATTGTTGAGAGATCTCCACTTAAAAAATGAAATAGATACACTGTTGCTATTGAAGCCATTCCAAAGGGTAGGTTTAACCGAGCAAATTCAATAAGCTACATTCAAACAGACTTCATAAAGAACACCATCATAAGATTCGATCATTGGTGTGCACTTCAAGTTGAGTGTGTGCTTTAAAAAAGAAAACACTAGCCAAGACAATAACCATGTTTCCATCCACAGTTTTTATGCGAGTAGGCCTACAGTCCTACCATATAAAAAAAAGACAGCTGGAAACAGGAAAGTTCGGTAAAATTTGATAAACACCGGCAGATAATTTATTAGTTCGACATGGTGGGATCTTTTTGTGTCTGTAAAATTAATTATGCAAGAAATTAAACGCCTTTAGCCGCAAATATTGATAATAACCATAATATCGAAGTAAACTTGGAGTCATGCGATGATATGGTGTGTGGCCGTCCCGCTACGACTTGGGAAACCATGCAGTTTATTAGGCTACAGATGAAATAAATTATGATACACTTCACCAAGTGGTGAAAGTGTCCGGTGATGAGCTTGATGCAGCTTTCCAATAAATATCAAAGGTCTTATTCTGGTGACATTATGATCGACGCTTGACTGCCGTTTGACAAAATATTCTCGCTCTTATCCATAATAATCTCATCATGTAGCCTAGACTAGTTTACCCTTACTGTGTCTGCAAGCTGTTAGGTAGAGTGCAGGTGCCAAGATCAGAGTAGGCACATTTGCTATTTATTAATTCAACAGTTTTTGTGACATAACCAGGGGCGCAACTTTCACTGGGGACCTGGAGTGTCATGTCCCCCACACATTCTGAAATTGCATTTTTGTCCCCCCCAGTTTTATCATTGCAATGTGATACAAAAAGCCGCAACGGTGTGCTTTTGGACCATGCAGACCGTAGGCTGTTTGGAGTGTTCAGCTGGCTGGATTTAGGACCACATGGAAACCACAGAGCTGGCTGACAGGCTGTGAGAAGGCTGGCTAGACCAGCAGGGGAGAGTTGAGCATAGTTCAGTGTGTATGTGTTGCGCTCTATCACTGAGTTGTAAAACCAAGCAGAGCAGAAACTGGCTTCTCTTTAGTTGACTGATGTAGCTAGCAAGGTAACTGCTGTTTAACTTAACAGAAAAAACCTAAACTAGTGTTTATTCTCAGTGCTGAGCTAGTATTGTAACTGAGGTAACGTTAGCTAATGTTTCATCCCCTCTCATCTGAGGTGAATGAATTAGCTATGCTAGATAGTAGCTACCACAGCCAGGTCAGCTCTAGCCTCTAGCTGTCTGTCAGATAGCTATTATTACTATCTAACAGCGGTTGTTTGTATGGAAATGTTTTGTAGCCTTTAATTTGTCCCGTTTCAACAGAGGTAAATTAACTTGGCTAGCTTTTGTCACGATCGTCGTTACAGGAAGCAGACCAAGGCGCAGCGTGTGATACAAACATGACTTTATTTTAATTAAAGTAACGAACAAAACAAAACACGACTCGTGAAGTCCAACGGTTAAACATACCGAAACGGAACAAAAACCCACAACACCCAAGGGAAAACATACAGATTAAATATGGCTCCCAATCAGAGACAACCAGCCGACAGCTGACACTCGTTGCCTCTGATTGGGAGTCACACAGGCAAACACAGACAATGACAACCTAGAACACCCAACATAGAAAACGAACACATAGAATGCACACACCCTGGCTCAACATATAGAGTCCCAGAGCCAGGGTGTGACAGTACCCACCCCTAAAGGCGCGGACTGCGACCGCGTCTAAACAAAACCCCAAACAGGGGAGGGCTGGGTGGGCATTCCTCCTCGGAGGCGGCTCCGGCTCCGGCTTTGACCACCACCCCTCCATACTACCCCCGTAGCGCCCCTGGTCCGGTCTGACCCCGCTGGCTGGATCTGGACTGGACATTGACGGAGCGGATTGCTTACGCTCCGTTGTGGAGCAGCTGACCGGTCTTACCAGGCTGACGACTCGCACCCCGGGCTTGGTGCGAGTAGCAGGAACGGGCTTAACCAGGCTGACGACTCGCACCCCTGGCTTGGTGCGAGTGGCAGGAACAGGCTGGACCAGGCTGGCGACTCGCACCCCTGGCTTGGTGCGAGTGGCAGGAACAGACCGGGCCGGGCTGGCGACTCGCACCCCTGGCTTGGTGCGAGTGGCAGGAACAGGCCAGGCCGGGCTGGCGACGCGCACCGTAGGTTTGGTGCGAGTGGCAGGAACAGGCCGGGCCGGGCTGGCGACGCACACCGTAGGTTTGGTGCGTGGAGCAGGGACAGGCCGGGCTGGGCTGGCGACGCACACCGTAGGCTTGGTGCGTGGAGCAGGAACAGGCCGGGCTGGGCTGGCGACGCACACCGTAGGTTTGGTGCGTGGAGCAGGAACAGGCCGGGCAGGGCTGGCGACGCACACCGTAGGTTTGGTGCGTGGAGCAGGGACAGGCCGGGCTGGGCTGACGACGCACCCCGTAGGCTTGGTGCGTGGAGCAGGAACAGGCCGAACAGGGCTGGCGACGCACACCGTAGGCTTGGTGCGTGGAGCAGGAACAGGCCGGACTGGGCTATGGAGACGGATAGGAGACCTGGAGTGAAGAGCTGCCACAACCCGTCCTGGCTGAATGCCTACCTTCACACACTCTGTGTGAGGCATCAGCACAGGACGTACAGGGCTGTGTACCCGTACTGGCATAACAGCACGTGACACTGGCGCAGGATATCCGGGACCGAGGAGAGGCACTGGAGGCCGCGAGCGCTGAGCCGGCACACTCCGTCCTGGCTGCATGCCCACCTTCGCACAACACGTGCGGGGTGCTCGCACAGGACGTACCGGACTATGCCGGACCACTCGCGGCACAGTGCGCATCTCCGCATACCGCGGAACCTGCCCAGTCTCATGCTGCCATGCCTGAGTACGGGGAGTTGGCTCTGCTCTCCATCCAGGCTCCGCCAACCTGCCTTCTGGCCCCCAAAAGCCGGTGGCCTCCTCTCTTAATCTCCCAATTCGCCCTGTGGCAGCCTCCTGCTGCCCAGTCGCCCATGCCGTGTGCCCCCCCCTAAAAAATTCTTGGGGGTGCCTCTCGCCTTTCCGACCACGGCCCGGTTGACGCCGCTTCTCCACTCCTGCCTGGGTCTCCCCCTTCATCGCCTTCCGGTACCGGACAGCCTCCTCCTCGGTAATCTGCCCCCAACCGAGGAGGACATCCACCAGAGTCACCTCCTGCGTGTGTTCCTGGACACGCTGCTTGGTCGTTGTATGGTGGGTTTTTCTGTCACGATCGTCTGGGTAAGGAGTAGTAGACCAAGGCGCAGCGTGTGATACAAACATGACTTTATTTTAATTAAAGTAACGAACAAAACAAAACACGACTCGTGAAGTCCAACGGTTAAACATACCGAAACGGAACAAAAACCCACAACACCCAAGGGAAAACATACAGATTAAATATGGCTCCCAATCAGAGACAACCAGCCGACAGCTGACACTCGTTGCCTCTGATTGGGAGTCACACAGGCAAACACAGACAATGACAACCTAGAACACCCAACATAGAAAACGAACACATAGAATGCACACACCCTGGCTCAACATATAGAGTCCCAGAGCCAGGGTGTGACAGCTTTCGCCAGTTGATGTACATCTTTAATCGATGGATAGACCTACAGTAGCTACAGAACAGCAGCTTAAACTTAAAGCTACAGTCTGGGATCTGGGAATAATGGTCATTTCAATTATTCAACCATTGATTCTATTCTTGGATAATATAATGTATAAATGTACACCAAGGTAATTCTTTGTCACGCCTCATTTTAGGAGGATTAGATGTTGACAGGGGTCTCAGCAGGGTCAGGGAGCCAGGGAAGACCAGTCGGTGATGAGCTGAGGTGAATCTTTGCAGATACAACACTTTATTCTCTCTGTGAAGCAACCACTGGACAAGCCAGATGCTGTTTTAAGGCAGTCTGACAAACCTTCAAAGTTGATTTCCAAACTGTATCAAGGGTTGATAGAGGCTTTTCCTGATGACACAAACATGTGAGTAAGACCTGGTAGAAGCTACTGATGATAATGAATTGATACAGATATGTTTGAATGCCCAGTCATGTTCATATCATCTCAGACATAAATGACTGCAGTTTAAGACCATCCATAGAACGTACTATATGCCAGTGTAACTGAATGACATGCACTCAGAAATGTCATTCCTCTACTGGAGGTGTAAAACACAAAAGGGGACATTTTTGCATATGTTATGGTTTTGTGAAGGCTGGCTGAATTCTGGCAAAGAGTATGTTCTTTTATCTCAGCATGTCTACAGATTCTCCCTTCTCCCTGTTTTTGTTTGCTTGGAAATGTTGATACTGGAGGCTTATCTGAGGAAACTGTGTAACCAAGCATTTATAGCGGCTAAGAAAAGCATTGCAATTAATTGGAAGGTTGGTTATCCTCCCACAACGTCAAGTTATGTGTCACTAGATCTGATTTATTACAAGATTAAGGGTATACTGGGCAACTTTCATAAGGTCTGGATGCCTTATATGGAATACAGTACGACTAAAGGAGTCTGCATTGAACACATGCCCACGTCAAGGGAGACACCTATTTAGGCAATCCCTAGCTGCTGGGCTGCTCAGTCCTGGCCCAAGGGGTCTGCCGTCCTGTGGGTTGTCACTCTAGCCTTGGCCTAACACACCCAAAACCAATAAATTAATGTTTTACTAAGATTCTAAAGCTGAGTGGGGTGTGTTGGGTTGGGGCGCTACAGGGTGGTGTACCCCTAGGGATAGGACTGGGACGACCCAGCTATACTGTATTGTGTGCAAGTAAAAATAGCTCTACAGGACTATTAAGCCTATGAGATTAATTATATGGAGGATTTGCTGTTTCTGTGTGTTAATGTATATTTGAGGTGTATGTGGTTTTTTGTGTGTTGTTTTTTTGTTTCCAAACCTTTCCCTTGGGAATTAAACCTTTTTAAGGTGGGAACTGGGAAGGAAATTGTGTTGGGAGAGAGTTAAGTTATTGAATAGACTGGTGGGGGTCGGGCGTGCAGGCGGCTCGGGCTGGCTGGGCGGTCTGGCTGAAATTTGATATAGAGGATGTCTTAATAAAGATAATCAAAAGTCTGTATTTTTTCAAGAGTTGTTCATCTGTTAGGCTGTTGGTTAAAGATGCAACACAATATTTGTTATTGAATAATTGAATTACCTTTGATGTAGTTCAATCTTATTAATCACATATTTAATAATGATCTCTTTCCTAGCTTGATGACTGTGGGCATTTTTGCTTACTTTTTGTTAAAAATGGAGACCTCATATTGGCTTGTGTAAAAATGCAGGAAATAAGCTTTAGATACCCCCAAAAATCCCCAGATCCCCCACCAGGTTATGAACCCCCCCCCCCCCCCCCCCCGGACAAAACTATCGGTAGAGTTGAAAATGTGATGAAACACATTGAACTTTAGATTTTTATTCCGTACATAAACACTTAAGTGAAAAATTACATTTTATGTGCACTATGTGCCTATGTCATCACGCACTGATTTTTTTATGCACTGGTGGGAAAATTTGCATATTTTCTTCATGCAGATTTTTGAATATTTGCATGAAAATCTGTCACCAATTGGATGGAAACCTAGAAATGTACTCTCATATGTGGCATAGTCCCCTCAAATGCCATTGGCATATCAACACCAGTTATCAGCATAATCATAAAGTCCTTGCCCATGTCTTTTTCTTAAGGAATTGAAAGGTAGTCCTCATCAGGGGGATCAGTTACAAGGTCAGAGAGAGGTGTTATAGCTTTGCCTGCAGAGTGAGAGGATGCTGCATGGGGGAAAACACAGTCGCCTACTGTAGAGGTGTGCTGAGGTGAGCCCTGCTGAGCTGTGCTGAACTGAGCAGTGCAGGGCGCCCTGTACTCCACCAGTGTTCTATTGCGCTGATAAGGCAGGAGACGGCCTCAAGAGAGCATACATTAGACCTTGTCCTAAAGCCAAGCACACTGAGTCAGGAGAGGGACAGGAACAGGGGACCGTTGGTACCTGACAACATTTTGGAGGTGACTGAATAATCTCTTGACCCTTAATTTGGGCTGTCTGAGAGAGGAGAAATGCTGTGATGTGATTCAGCACCACATATTGTAGCAGCATGAGGCACTCATCCCTGATACCTGGCAGATAAGATGGAAGAGAGAGGGCAGAGTTCACAGACATTACTCTTTGAGGCCAGCCTCAGCAGAGTCTCGGAAATGTAACCGGGTCGTTCCACAAATTTGATATTTTAAGTTGAAATTGTACACCAATATTGCATTTTAAAAGCCTGTTAAATTAAATGAAGTCCCCTTTGTCACACCCTGATCTGTTTCACCTGTCTCCACCCCCCATTATCCCCTGTGTATTTATACCTGCGTTTTCTGTTTGTCTGCTGTCAGTTTGTCTTGTTTTGTCAGGTCTTACTAGCATGTTTCCTGTTTCTCCTGTTCTCAAGTTTTGTTTTCTAGTCTTCCCGGTTTTGACCTTTCTGCCTGTCCTGACCCTGAGCCCAGCTGCCGTTCTGTCCCTGATTTACTCTTATCCAGAGCTACATACAGTTAGTGAGTGCATACATTTTTCATACTGGCCCCCCGTTGGAAACGAACCCACAGCCCTGGCGTTGCAAGCGCCATGCTCTACCATCTGAGCTACAGGGGACTAGGATTTACTAGGATTAAATGTCAGGAATTGTGAAAAACTGAGTTTAAATGTATTTGGCTAAGGAGTATGTAAACTTTCGACTTCAACTGTACATAAAAAACATTGAACATAATAATAGTGAAATCATAGTGTGACAGCAGGTAAGATTGTTGTACTCCTTTTGGCCATTTTCTGAGCGAGTCGCGCATAACATGTTATCCCTGTTACCCATATATAGATAGGCCAGAAATGTTTTAACAATGAATCTTTTTTTTGTGATATGTTTCTGTTTCTGTCTCTGTCTCTGGTCTCTGTCTCTGTCTCTGTCTCTGTCTCTGTCTAGGTCTTTCGTCTGTTTGTTGTTCTCTCTTCTCTGTTTTAGTCCTGTCCATGTACTCTAGACCGTTGTTCTGTCTTTTCTGCTAGCCGCTGTTCTCCTGTCTCTGTCTGTCCTCTGTTTTCTGTCTGTCTTGTCTCTCTTGTCTCTGTCTGTCTTGTCTCGTCTTGTCTCTCTTCTGTCTCTGTCTCTTGTCCTGTCTATGTTCCTTCTTGTCTTTGTCTCTGTAGTTGTCTTGTCTAGTCTCTGTCTTCTGTCTCTGTCTTCTGTTCTGTCGTTCCTCTCTGTCTCTGCTCTGCGTTCTGTCTCTCTGTTCATCTGTACTGTCTCTGTCTCTTTTCACTGTCTCTGTCTTGTTATGTTCCTCTACTCTTCTATCTCTCTGTCTCTGTCTATGTTATGTCGTCTGTCTTGCTGTCTCTGTTCTGCTTGTCAGGCTGTAACTTCTTCGCTTCTGTCCTCAGAATCTTCATGATTCGTGTTCTGTCTCTGTCTCGTCTATGTTCGTTCTGTCCTTCTTTGTCTCTGTCTCGTCTCTGCTCTGTCTCTGTCTCTGTCTTGTCTGTCCGTTCTGCTGTCTTTTGTTTGTCTTCTTGTTGTCTTCTCTGTCGTCTGTCTTGTTTCCTGTCTCTGTCTCTGTCTCTCTTTTCTCTGTCTCTGTCTCTGTCTGTTTTCTCTTGTCTGTCTGTTCTGTTTGTCTACTGTCTCTGTCTCTGTCTTGTCTATGTCTTCCGTCCGTCTCTGTCTGTGTCCTCTGTCTCTGTCTCTGTCTCTGTCTGTCGTGTCTCTTTCTTCAGTCTCTGTTCGCTATGTTCCGTCTCTGTCTCTGTCTCTGTTCTCTGTCTCTGTCTCTGTCTCTGTCCTGTCTCTGTCTCTTCTGTCTCTGTCTCTGTTTCCTGTCTCTGCTCTGTCTATGTTTCCTGCTCTGTCCTCTATGTCTCTGTTCTGTTTCTCTTCTCGTCTCTGTCTCCTGTCTCTGTCTCGTCTGCTTGTCTTCTGTCTCTGTCTCTGTCTCTGTCTCTGTCTCGTCTCTGTCTCATGTTTCGTCTCTGTCTCTGTCTTGTTCTCGTCTTGTCTCTGTCTCTGTCTTGCTCCGTCTCTTCTCTTCTTGTCTCTGTCTCTCTGTCTCTGTCTCTGTCTCTGTCTCTGTCTGTTCTGTCTCTGTCTCTGTCTCTGTCTCTGTCTCTGTCTCTGTCTCTGTCTTGTTCTGTCTCTTCTTCTTCTCTCTTGTCTTGTTATGTTCCAGTCTCTATTCTGTCTGTCTCTGTCTCATGTTCACTGTTCTGTCCTGTCTCTGTCTCTGTTCCTGTCTCTGTCTTGTCTCTGTCTCTGTCTGTCTGTTTCTGTCTCTATCTTTCATCTCAGTTCCTCTCTGTCTCTGTCTTTCTCTGTCTCTGTCTCTGTCTTGTTTTCTGTCTCTTGTCTTGCTCTGTCTATGTTTCTGTCTCTGTCGTCTATGTCTCTCTCTGTCTCTGTTCTGTCTTGTCCTGTCTCTGTTTGTCTGTTTTTCTCTGTCGTCTTCGTTCTTCTGTCTCTGTCTCTGTCTTTCCGTCTCTCGTCTCTGTTGTTCGTCTCTGTCTCTGTCTCTGTCTTCTGTCTCTGTCTCTGTCTCTGTCTGTCTCTGTCTCTGTCTCCTCTGTCGTCTTGTTATTTCCTCTCTCTGTCTCTGTCTGTGTTTCCGTCTCTGTCTTGTTTTTCTCTCTCTGTCTCTGTCTCTGTCTCTGTCTCTGTCTCTGTCTCTGTCTCTGTCTCTGTCTCTGTCTCTGTCTCTGTCTATGTTTCCATCTCTGTCTCTGTCTCTGTCTCTGTCTCTGTCTCTGTCTCTGTCTCTGTCTCTGTCTCTGTCTCTGTCTGTGTTTCCGTCTCTGTCTTTGTGTATGTTTCCCTCTCTATCTCTGTCTCTGTCTATGTTACTGTCGCTGTCTCTTTCTCTGTCAAGGCTAAATCAAATGCTGTGCGCCAGAACTTCATGATTCTCTGTCTCTGTCTCTGTCTCTGTCTCTGTCTCTGTCTCTGTCTCTGTCTCTGTCTCTGTCTCTGTCTCTGTCTCTGTCTCTGTCTCTGTCTCTGTCTATGTTTCCGTCTCTGTCTCTGTCTGTGTTTCCGTCTCTGTCTCTGTCTCTGTCTCTGTCTCTGTCTCTGTCTCTGTCTCTGTCTCTGTCTCTGTCTCTGTCTCTGTCTCTGTCTATGTTTCCGTCTCTGTCTCTGTCTGTGTTTCCGTCTCTGTCTCTGTCTCTGTCTCTGTCTCTGTCTCTGTCTCTGTCTCTGTCTCTGTCTCTGTCTCTGTTTCCGTCTCCGTCTCTGTCTCTGTCTCTGTCTCTGTCTCTGTCTCTGTCTCTGTCTCTGTCTCTGTCTCTGTCTCTGTCTCTGTCTGTGTTTCCGTCTCTGTCTTTGTGTATGTTTCCCTCTCTATCTCTGTCTCTGTCTATGTTACTGTCGCTGTCTCTTTCTCTGTCAAGGCTAAATCAAATGCTGTGCGCCAGAACTTCATGATACACTTAGTGTTTGGCTTTCAGAGGGGGGAAATACACGTATGTCTTATAGAAGAAGATGGCTTTATTATGGTAAATGGCTATATCAACTTGCTGTAAAAATTATTATGTACTGAACAACATTTTGTGTAGCTCAAATGAAATGGCCAATACAATAATTGATTGTAACAAGAAGGCTCTTTGTCTTTTTGGAGAGATGACCAGCCAACTCCCCACACAGATTAGTATTTGATGAAAATGACATTGTGTGTGATAGGGCCTGTTTGGGTTTTCAGTAATAACTACTAGTACATTACTTGGGCCGAGCTCCCTGCCATCCAGGACCTCTATATCAGGCAGTGTCAGAGGACGGCCTGAAAAATTGCCAAAGACTCCAGCCACCCAAGCCATAGACTGTTCACTCTGCTACCGTCTGACAAACGGTACCGGAGCATCGGCTCTTGGACTAATAGGCTCCTAGACAGCTTCTACCTCCAAGCCATGACTGCTAAATAGCCAGACTGCTAAATAGTAAATTAATGGTACCTGAACTATCTGCACTGACTCTATGTTGCACTGACCCTACGCACACTCACTAGACTATATATACAAACCATACACACTCACTAGACTATATATACAAACCATACACACTCACTAGACTATATATACAAACCATACACACTCACTAGACTATATATACAAACCATACACACTCACTAGACTATATATACAAACCATACACACTCACTATACTATATATACAAACCATACACACTCACTAGACTATTTATACAAACCATACACACTCACTAGACTATTTATACAAACCATTCTCACTCACTAGACTATATATACAAACCATACACACTCACTAGCCTATATACAACAGCATAATCCCAGAAACCCTAGACCCACTCCAATTTGCATACCGCCCCAACAGATCCACAGATGATGCAATCTCTATCGCACTCCACACTGCCCTTTCCCACCTGGACAAGAGGAACACCTACGTGAGAATGCTATTCATTGACTACAGCTCAGCATTCAACACCATAGTGCCCTCTAAGCTCATCACTAAGCTAAGGATCCTGGGACTAAACACCTCCCTCTGCAACTGGATCCTGGACTTCCTGACGGGCCGCCCCCAGGTGGTAAGGGTAGGTAACAACACATCTGCCACACTGATCCTCAACACGGGGGCCCCTCAGGGGTGCGTGCTCAGTCCCCTCCTGTACTCTCTGTTCACCCATGACTGCATGGCCAGGCACGACTCCAACACCATCATTAAGTTTGCCGACGACACAACAGTGGTAGGCCTGATCACCGACAACGATGAGACAGCCTATAGGGAGGAGGTCAGAGATCTGGCCGTGTGGTGCCAGGACAACAACCTCTCCCTCAACGTGACCAAGACAAAGGAGATGATTGTGGACTACAGGAAAAAAAAGAGGACTGAGCACGCCCCCATTCTCATCGACGGGGCTGTAGTGGAACAGGTTGAGAGCTTCAAGTTCCTTGGTGTCCACATCACCAACGAACTATCATGGTCCAAACACACCAAGACAGTCGTGAAGAGGGCACGACAAAGCCTATTCCCCCTCAGGAGACTAAAAAGATTTGGCACGGGTCCTCAGATCCTCAAAAAATTCTACAGCTGCACCATCGAGAGCATCCTGACTGGTTGCATCACCGCCTGGTATGGCAACTGCTTGGCCTCTGACCGCAAGGCACTACAGAGGGTAGTGCGTACGGCCCAGTACATCACTGGGGCAAAGCTCCCTGCCATCCAGGACCTCTATACCAGGCGGTGTCAGAGGAAGGCCCTCAAAATTGTCAAAGACTCCAGCCACCCTAGTCATAGACTGTTCTCTCTGCTACCGCACGGCAAGCGGTACCGGAGTGCCAAGTCTAGGTCCAAAAGACTTCTCAACAGCTTCTACCCCCAAGCCATAAGACTCCTGAACAGCTAATCATGGCTACCCGGACTATTTGCACTGCCCCCCCACCCCATCCTTTTTACGCTGCTGCTACTCTGTTAAGTATTTATGCATAGTCACTTTAACTCTACCCACATGTACATATTACCTCAACTACCTCAACTAGCCGGTGCCCCCGCACATTGACTCTGCAACGGTACCCCCCTGTATATATAGCCTCCCTACTGTCACTTTATTTTACTGTATATATAGCCTCCCTACTGTCACTTTATTTTACTTCTGCTCTTTTTTTCTCAACACTTTTTTTGTTGTTGTTTTATTCTTACTTTTTTTGTTTAAAATAAATGCACTGTTGGTTAAGGGCTGTAAGTAAGCATTTCACTGTAATGTCTGCACCTGTTGTATTCGGCGCATGTGACCAATACAATTTGATTTGATTTGATTTGATTTGATATATACAAACCATTCTCACTCACTAGACTATATATACAAACCATACACACTCACTAGACTATATAAGCAAACCATTCTCACTCACTAGACTATACAGTGAGGGAAAAAAGTATTTGATCCCCTGCTGATTTTGTACATTTGCCCACTGACAAAGACATGATCTGGCTATCATTTTAATGGTAGGTTTATTTGAACAGTGAGAGACAGAATACCCCTCTGCAAAACATGACTTAGTACTTGGTGGCAAAACCCTTGTTGGCAATCACAGAGGTTAGACGTTTCTTGTAGTTGGCCACCAGGTTTGCACACATCTCAGGAGGGATTTTGTTCCACTCCTCTTTGCAGATCTTCTCCAAGTCATTAAGATTTCGAGGCTGACGTTTGGCAACTCGAACCTTCAGCTCCCTCCACAGATTTTCTATGGGATTAAGGTCTGGAGACTGGCTAGGCCACTCCAGGACCTTAATGTGCTTCTTCTTGAACCACTCCTTTGTTGCCTTGGCCGTGTGTTTTGGGTCATTGTCATGCTGGAATACCCATCCACGACCCATTTTCAATGCCCTGGCTGAGGGAAGGAGGTTCTCACCGAAGATTTGACGGTACATGGCCCCGTCCATCGTCCCTTTGATGCAGTGAAGTTGTCCTGTCCCCTTAGCAGAAAAACACCCCCAAAGCATAATGTTTCCACCTCCATGTTTGACAGGGGGATGGTGTTACATTAAATTTACATTTACGTCATTTAGCAGACGCTCCAGAGCGACTTACAAATTGGTGCATTCACCTTGTAGCCAGTGGGATAACCACTTTACAATGTTTTTTTTTTTTTTTTTTTTTGGGTGGGGTGGGTTAAGGGGTGGGGTAGAAGGATTACTTTATCCTATCCCAGGTATTCCTTAAAGAGGTGGGGTTTCAAATGTCTCCGGAAGGTGGTGAGTGACTCCGCTGTCCTGGCGTCGTGAGGAAGCTTGTTCCACCATTGGGGTGCCAGAGCAGCGAACAGTTTTGACTGGGCTGAGCTGGAACTGTGCTTCCGCAGAGGTAGGGGAGCCAGCAGGCCAGAGGTGGATGAACGCAATGCCCTCGTTTGGGTGTAGGGACTGATCAGAGCCTGAAGGTACGGAGGTGCCGTTTCCCTCACAGCTCCGTAGGCAAGCACCATGGTCTTGTAGCAGATGCAAGCTTCAACTGGAAGCCAGTGGAGTGTGCGGAGGACCGGGGTGACGTGAGAGAACTTGGGAAGGTTGAACACCAGACGGGCTGCGGCATTCTGGATGAGTTGTAGGAGTTTAATGGCACAGGCAGGGAGCCCAGCCAACAGCGAGTTGCAGTAATCCAGACGGGAGATGACAAGTGGGGGAAAGGAGAAAATTAGTTGTGTGTTGTCTGCGTAGCAATGATAGAAGAGGCCATGGATATGACAGAGCCAAGTGACTTGGTGTATAGCGAGAATAGGAGAGGGCCTAGAACTGAGCCCTGGGGGACACCAGTGGTGAGAGCACGTGGTGCGGAGACAGCTTCTCACCACGCCACTTGGTAGGAGCGACCGGTCAGGTAGGACGCAATCCAAGAGTGAGCTGCGCCGGAGATGCCCAGCTCGGAGAGGGTGGAGAGGAGGATCTAATGGTTCACAGTATCAAAGGCAGCAGACAGGTCTAGAAGGACAAGAGCAGAAGAGAGAGAGTTAGCTTTAGCAGTGCAGAGAGCCTCCGTGACACAGAGAAGAGCAGTCCCAGTCTTGAAACCTGACTGGTTTGGATCAAGAAGGTCATTCTGAGAGAGATAGCAAGAGAGTTGGCTAAAGACGGCACGCTCAATAGTTTTGGAGAGAAAAGAAAGAAGGGATACTGGTCTGTAGTTGTTGACATCAGAGGGATCGAGTGTTGGTTTTTTGAGAAGGGGTGCAACTCTCGCTCTCTTGAAGATGGAAGGGACATAGCCAGCGGTCAAGGATGAGTTGATCAGCGAGGTGAGGTAGGGAGAAGGTCACCGGAGATGGTCTGGAGAAGAGATGAGGGGATAGGGTCAAGCGGGCAGGTTGTTGGGCGGCCGGCCATCACAAGTCGCAAGATTTGATCTGGAGAGAGAGGGGAGAAAGAAGTCAAAGCATAGGGTAGGGCAGTGTGAGCAGGACCAGCAGTGTCATTTGACTTAAACGAGGATCGGATGTCGTCAACCTTCTTTTCAAAATGGTTGACGAAGTCATCCACAGAGAGGGAGGGGGGGGGGGGGGGGGGGGGGGGGAGGATTCAGCAGGGAGGAGAAGGTGGCAAAGAGCTTCCTAGGGTTAGAGGCAGATGCTTGAAATTTAGAGTGGTAGAAAGTGGCCTTAGCAGCAGAAACAGATGAAGAAAATGTAGAGAGGAGGGAGTGAAAAGATGTCAGGTCCGCAGGGAGTCTAGTTTTCCTCCATTTCCGCTCGGCTGCTCGGAGCCCTGTTCTGTGAGCTCGCAATGAGTCATCAAGCCACGGAGCTGGAGGGGAGGACCGAGCCGGCCGGGAGGATAGGGGACATAGAGAGTCAAAGGATGCAGAAAGGGAGGAGAGGAGGGTTGAGGAGGCAGAATCAGGAGATTGGAGGGAGAAGGCTTGAGCACAGGGAAGAGATGATAGGATGGAAGAGGAGAGAGTAGCGGGAGAGAGAGAGCGAAGGTTGCGACGGTGCATTACCATCTGAGTAGGGGCAGAGTGAGTAGTGCTGGAGGAGAGCGAGAGAGAAAAGGAAACAAAGTAGTGGTCGGAGACTTGGAGGGGAGTTGCAGTGAGATTAGTAGAAGAACAGCATCTAGTAAAGATGAGGTCAAGCGTATTGCCTGCCTTGTGAGTAGGGGGGGACGGTGAGAGGGTGAGGTGAGACGGTGAGAGGGTGAGGGAAGGAGGTTCTCACCAAAGATTTGGGGTCATAGGCAGCATTCCTTCTCCTCCAAACACGGTGAGTTGAGTTGATGCCAAAGAGCTCGATTTTGGTCTCATCTGCCCACAACACTTTCACCCAGTTCTCCTCTGAATCATTCAGATGTTCATTGGCAAACTTCAAACGGCCCTGTATATGTGCTTTCTTGAGCAGGGGGACCTTGCGGGCGCTGCAGGATTTCAGTCCTTCACGGCGTAGTGTGTTACCAATTGTTTTCTTGGTGACTATAGTCCCAGCTGCCTTGAGATCATTGACAAGATCCTCCCGTGTAATACTGGGCTGATTCCTCACCGTTGTCATGATCATTGCAACTCCACGAGGTGAGATCTTGCATGGAGCCCCAGGCCGAGGGAGATTGACAGTTCTTTTGTGTTTCTTCCATTTGCGAATAATCACACCAACTGTTGTCACCTTCTCACCAAGCTGCTTGGCGATGGTCTTGTAACCCATTCCAGCCTTGTGTAGGTCTACAATCTTGTCCCTGACATCCTTGGAGAGCTCTTTGGTCTTGGCCATGGTGGAGAGTTTGGAATCTGATTGATTGATTGCTTCTGTGGACAGGTGTCTTTTATACAGGTAACAAGCTGAGATTAGGAGCACTCCCTTTAAGAGTGTGCTCCTAATCTCAGCTCGTTACCTGTATAAAAGACACCTGGGAGCCAGAAATCTTTCTGATTGAGAGAGGGTCAAATACTTATTTCCCTCATTAAAATGCAAATCAATTTATAATTTTTTGTTGTTGTTATTCTGTCTCTCACTGTTCAAATAAACCTACCATTAAAATTATAGACTGATAATTTATTTGTCAGTGGGCAAACGTACAAAATCAGCAGGGGATCAAATACTTTTTTCCCTCACTGTATATACATCTGGAAGAATGGCGCCGGAGAAGATGGATGCCGTTTTACAGCCATCTAACCAATTGTACTATTATGTGTGTTTTTCCGCGTTATTTGTAATTTATTTTGTACAATGTTTCTGCCATCGTCTCTTATAACCAAAAAGAGCTTCTGGATATCAGGACAGCGATTACTCACCTCGTATTGGACGAATAATTTATCTTCAACGAGGCGGCCGCGAAGGATATCCTACAGACACCCGACAAGGCCCAAATCCCCGTCATTCGCATGAGGAAGAGACGGAGATATCGTGGACGTAGGTCGGGGTGCCTTGTAAGTATCCGACGGCGAGCGAATAAACTGCCGCTCCCATCAATCCTATTAGCCAATCTTCAATCATTGAAAAATAAATTGGATGACCTAAGATTACGGTTATCCTACCAACGGGACATTAAAAACTGTAATATCTTATGTTTCACCGAGTCATGGCTGAACGACAACATGGATAACATACAGCTAGCGGGCTGTGCGCTACATCGGCAGGATAGAACGGCTGACTCCGGTAAGACAAGGGGTGGCGGTCTGTGTATATTTGTAAACAACAGCTGGTGCACAAAATCAAATACTAAGGAAGTCTCGAGGTTTTGCTCGCCTGAGGTAGAGTATCTTATGATAAGCTGTAGACCACACTATTTACCAAGAGAGTTTTCATCTATATTTTTCATAGCTGTCTATTTACCACCACAAACCAATGCTGGCATTAAGATTGCACTGAATGAGCTGTATAAGGCCATAATTCAACAGGAAAACGCTCATCCAGAGGCAGCACTCCTAGTGGCCAGGGACTTTAATGCAGGGAAACTTAAATCCGTTCTACCTAATTTCTACCAGCATGTTAAATGTGCAACCAGAGGAAAAAAAACTCTAGACCACCTTTACTCCACACACAGAGACGCATACAAAGCTCTCCCTCGCCCTCCATTTGGCAAATCTGACCATAACTCTATCCTCCTGAATCCTGCTTATAAGCAAAAACTAAAGCAGGAACCACCAGTGACTCGGTTAATAAAAAAGTGGTCAGATGACGCAGATGCTAAGCTACAGGACTGTTTTGCTAGCACAGACTGGAACATGTTCTGGGATTCTTCAGATAGCATTGAGGAGTACACCACATCAGTCACTGGCTTCATCAATAAGTGCATCGATGATGTCGTCCCAACAGTGACCGTACGTACATACCCCAACCAGAAGCCATGGATTACAGGAAACATCCGCACTGAGCTAAAGGGTAGAGCTGCCGCTTTCAAGGAGCGGGACTCTAACCCGGACGCTTATAAGAAATCCCGCTATGCCCTCCGACGAACCATCAAACAGGCAAAGAGTCAATACAGGACTAAGATTGAATCGTACTACACTGGCTCTGACGCTCGTCGGATGTGGCAGGGCTTGAAAACTATTACAGACTACAAAGGGAAGCACAGCCGCGAGCTTCCCAGTGACACAAGCCTACCAGACGAGCTAAACCACTTCTATGCTCGCTTCGAGGCAAGCAACACTGAAGCATGCATGAGAGCACCAGCTGTTCCGGATGACTATGTGATCACGCTCTCCGTAGCCGATGTGAGTAAGACTTTTAAGCAGGTCAACATTCACAAGGCCGCAGGGCCAGACGGATTACCAGGACGTGTACTCCGAGCATGTGCTGACCAACTGGCAAGTGTCTTCACTGACATTTTCAACATGTCCCTGACTGAGTCTGTAATACCAACATGTTTCAAGCCACCACCATAGTCCCCGTGCCCAAGGACACTAAGATAACCTGCCTAAATGACTACCGACCCGTAGCACTGACGTCTGTAGCCATGAAGTGCTTTGAAAGGCTGGCCATGGCTCACATCAACACCATTATCCCAGAAACCCTAGACCCACTCCAATTTGCATACCGCCCCAACAGATCCACAGATGATGCAATCTCTATTGCACTCCACACTGCCCTTTCCCACCTGGACAAGAGGAACACCTACGTGAGAATGCTATTCATTGACTACAGCTCAGCATTCAACACCATAGTGCCCTCAAAGCTCATCACTAAGCTAAGGATCCTGGGACTAAACACCTCCCTCTGCAACTGGATCCTGGACTTCCTGACGGGCCTCCCCCAGGTGGTAAGGGTAGGTAACAACACATCTGCCACACTGATCCTCAACACGGGGGCCCCTCAGGGGTGCGTGCTCAGTCCCCTCCTGTACTCCCTATTTACCCATGACTGCATGGCCAGGCACGACTCAAACACCATCATTAAGTTTTCCGACGACACAACAGTGGTAGGTCTGATCACCGACAACGATGAGACAGCCTATAGGGAGGAGGTCAGAGACCTGGCCGTGTGGTGCCAGGATAACAACCTCTCCCTCAACGTGACCAAGACAAAGGAGATGATTGTGGACTACAGGAAAAAAAAGAGGACTCTCATCGACGGGGCTGTAGTGGAACAGCTTGAGAGCTTCAAGTTCCTTGGTGTCCACATCACCAACGAACTATCATGGTCCAAACACACCAAGACAGTCGTGAAGAGGGCACGACAAAGCCTATTCCCCCTCAGGAGACTGAAAAGATTCGGCATGGGTCCTCAGATCCTCAAAAAATTCTACAGCTGCACCATTGAGAGCATCCTGACTGGTTGCATCACTGCCTGGTATGGCAACTGCTTGGCCTCCGACCGCAAGGCACTACAGAGGGTAGTGCGTACGGCCCAGTACATCACTGGGGCCAAGCTTCCTGCCATCCAGGACCTCTATACCAGGCGGTGTCAGAGGAAGGCCCTCAAAATTGTCAAAGACTCCAGCCACCCTAGTCATAGACTGTTCTCTCTGCTACCGCACGGCAAGCAGTACCGGAGTGCCAAGTCTAGGTCCAACAGACTTCTCAACAGCTTCTACCCCCAAGCCATAAGACTCCTGAACAGCTAATCATGGCTACCTGGACTATTTGCACTGCCCCCCCACCCCATCTTTTTACGCTGCTGCTACTCTGTTAATTTGTGCATAGTCACTTTAACTCTACCCACATGTACATATTACTTCAACTACCTCAACTAGCCGGTGCCCCCGCACATTGACTCTGCACCGGTACCCCCCTGTATATATAGCCTCCCTACTGTTATTTTATTTTACTTCTGCTCTTTTTTTCTCAACACTTTTTTGTTGTTGTTTTATTTTACTTTTTTATTAAAAATAAATGCACTGTTGGTTAAGGGCTGTAAGTAAGCATTTCACTGTAATGTCTGCACCTGTTGTATTCGGCGCATGTGGCCAATACATTTTGATTTGATTTGATTTGATTTGATATACAAACCATACACACTCACTAGACTATATAATAAGCCATTTAGCAGACGCTTTTATCCAAAGCGACTTACAGTCATGCGTGCATACATTTTTTTTTTTGTGTATGGGTGGTCCCGGGGATCGAACCCACTACCTTGGCGTTACAAGCGCCGTGCTCTACCAGCTGAGCTACAGAGGACCACATATATATATAAACAAACCATTTTCACTCACTAGACTATATATACAAACCATACACACTCACTAGACTATATATACAAACCATACACACTCACTAGACTATATATACAAACCATACACACTCACCAGACTATATATATACAAACCATACACACTCACTTACACACACTACATTTACACTCCCACACAAAACCCACACACATTCACATACACTACATACACATTCGCACACCCACACATAACACACCCAAGTTTGCCCTCCACTCTCGCTCCTCTGGTCCTCCTGGGTTTGACCTCCACTCTCTCTCCTCTGGTCCTCCTGGGTTTGACCTCCACTCTCTCTCCTCTGGTCCTCCTGGGTTTGACCTCCATTCTCTCTCCCTCTGGTCCTCCTGGGTTTGACCTCCACTCTCTCTCCTCTGGTCCTCCTGGTTTTGACCTCCATTCTCTCTCCCTCTGGTCCTCCTGGGTTTGACCTCCATTCTCTCTCCCTCTGGTCCTCCTGGGTTTGACCTCCATTCTCTCTCCCTCTGGTCCCCCTGGGTTTGACCTCCATTCTCTCTCTCCTCTGGTCCTCCTGGGTTTGCCCTCCACTCTCGCTCCTCTGGTCCTCCTGGGTTTGACCTCCACTCTCTCTCCTCTGGTCCTCCTGTGTTTGACCTCCACTCTCTCTCCTCTGGTCCTCCTGGGTTTGACCTCCACTCTCTCTCCTCTGGTCCTCCTGGGTTTGACTTCCACTCACTCTTCCTCTGGTCGGGGATGGGAGCTACCTCTGGTGTGTGTTCTCTGTTCTTCTCACCCTCCGTGTCGGCTCGTGACACAGCTTATTAATGGTCCACGGGGGTGACAGAACTGACTTATTGACTGGAGGCTTCATTAGCAGGCTCCACTCCTGAGGTGGTCCATTTTTGGCTGAAGTGTCAAAGTCAGCTGCCCTCTGAGATGGCACCTCTCCCCTGTCTGTCTCACACCCAGTCTAAATCAACCTACATCTCTAGATTGATCTAAAAACATCACAGAGAAATCTGTTTGAGTGTAAATAATGCCAGAACCATTCTGTTTCTATAGGCTCAGTGGGGATGTCCATGTTGACCCTGGCCAAACCATTCCAAACAGGCTTTTGTGCAGACAGTCAATTAGGAGCTCTTTGGTAAACAGCTGATGATGAGAGGCTATTATAAATGTGGGCACACAGACAGAGGGTTGCCCACCTGTGTGAGTTATCCAAGGTGCTTTAATACTCTAATCACACACCTTCTAAGCACAGTTCAGCCTTGGCCAATTAGCACGCGGCATCCTGGGATACAGACTCTCATTAATTATTCATTACCACATTATTTATAATCAAAGTGAAATATCCATGTCACAGACTCAAAAAAGGGCAAGCTATAGGCTACCACCTCAATGCATCCACCACACGCTGTGATGGGAGAATGCAATTTCAGGACAAACAATGCAATTTGGGCAAAGGAGGCTGGTGGGACGAGCTATAGGAGGATGGGCTCATTGTAATGGCTGGAATGGAATAAATGGAATGGTATCAAACAGATAGAAACATATGGAAACCACATGTTTGACTCCGTTCCATTTATTCAATTCCAGCCATTACAATGAGCCCGTCCTCCTATAGCTCCTTACACCAGCCTCCTCTGAATTTGGGTCTACCTTAATTTCAATATTGAGTAAATAGCCAGGCAAAGAAATGCAGTAATCATGACAGCCATTGTGTCAGGAAGTCTCAGAAGCCTGCAGAAGCATCTGTATTTACTTTGCATTCATTCTGCAACTCTGGCTGCTCAGCCTAGCAGCCAGTCACCGTGTGGGGCTCTCTGTTTAGGCCAACACATCATAAAAGCAGGGAGACTGAAAAGTGCTGATGGCGATGAAGGAGTCACACTCCACACCACTGTTATACAGTTTCAGGTCTGGCACCCTCAAAATGAGTATCCATACAGTAATTACACACAGAGATAGAGACAAGCCAGATAGCTGGTGAGCCATTCATGTGCAAAGCACCATCCTACTTAGTATGCATATCACTGGAACCAGAGCAATATGGCAAGCCTGGTTTGAGGCGAAACGCAACTTGTTGTGCATAACTACGAGAGACGAGAGGGAGGGCCTGTGTTTATGTGTGAGTAATCATTGAGTTAATATAATCGGCTGTGTGTGTGTTTGTGTGTGTGTGAGTGGGTGGGTGTACAGTATGTGTGTGTGTGTGTCTGTGTGCGTACTTGTGTGTGTGTGGCAGAGGTAGTTCACAGGAACGTTGTTGCTCGTCTCTGGTGGATAGAGCATGCATGACAGACTCTTCAATGAGCACTGGGCTCCTAAAATAAACGGCCCCATCATACGGCCCAAGAGACAGCTCTGGTGGTGCTGAGAAGAGGCCCTGCAGCTAGGGAGCCACTGAGGACTCCTTCTGACAGACATCTCACCCAATTAACATTCAGCATGCATCCCAAGGCTACAGGCAGCCAATACTTTCAAATTAACATGACTTCAACAACAAGGAGAGGTAGTCCAGTTTTAGTGGCACTACCAACAACAGAAGGACACCATGCATGTCCAGACATGTTGGAATCCACAGCTTGAAAATTGGTTTAGAAACTTGAGGTTGAGAATGCCATCAAACAATTCTGGACAAATTGAGCTTATTCCTGTGAAAACTAAATGTTAAATTGATTATTTTGTAAATGCATTTTGACATCAGTGCATTTGAAGTACAGAATTTTTGAATTATGACAAATTGTATAAATGGTGTGAGGGTGTGAAGAAACAACTAGGTTACAAGGGGTTGAGTGTTAAGGACAAACATAGCCTGCCACACCATGCACCATGCAGGTGGAGAGAAGCACATGCACTCTGTCCCTGAACTGGTCTGGGCCCTGAGTGGCAGTGCCAAGGATGGGTCTATACCAGGCTCAGAGAAAGAGCCCGCTGACAGGCAGCTGCCTGACCTGGCACCACTCCTGGCTCCTCATAGCTACAGATCCCATAATGACTGTGAAAAATGCCCTGTCACCTTTCACATGTCACATATGGTGTCACAGTTTACAGGATGTCACTCCCAGGCATCAATGCGTCACATGGATTAGGGAATCTAGTGAAGAAACACAGGAAAGAAGGACAAACAGCAGAAATGTTTGTTCTGTCTGTTGTTCAGAGTGTCTGCAAGTTCAAACAGGTCCTTGTCCGCACCCAATATTTACTGTTGAACATAAAAGTAATCTGAGGAATAGAGATTGTGAATTTGTTTTGCCATAGTTTATTAAAAATATGTCTGGGTTATTTTGATAGCGGTATTGATGATAAACAGTACCGCAGTTCAATAGTTGATCCATATCTTTATCATATTTTCTTCTTTCTTAAGTTGCAGGTCTGTTGTAGTCTAATGGAGAGAGAGGTGGAAGGCTGTTTTTTAAAAAGTCGTTCACTGCCTCCACTGTCAGATATGAATTAGTGAAATAATTTTTTAAGATCTAAAATGTTTCTGACATTTCAGCAGCAAGCAAATCTAATGGATTTTTTACGAGCGTATTTGCTCAACATCCTGCCATTTCGTGCTTATTAATGCATGGCCTTTTACAGGGCATTTACTAAGATATGGGGCTGGAGCTGTAACAAAGCCAGCATATCATTATTCACACTTCACAAAGCCCATCGCAGGTGCTTTCATGTGTACATAATGTCCTTGTTTTTGTATATATCCAGATCCTGTATTTGATCACATAGTCAAATGTAATGGAGGTGAACATAAGGTACAATGTGACCTTAACAGGAATGAAGCTAGAATAATTAAAGTGAGGCCTTCAACTGTTTCCCATTGTGCCAATTAATGTGCCCTTTTTCTATAATGGCCTTGGCACTGTTCTCTTTCTCACCTCCCTCCCTTCCTCCCCTTATTCCTCCCTCCCTCCGTCGCACACACACACACACACACACACACACACACACACACACACACACACACACACACACACACACACACACACACACACACACACACACACACACACACACACACACACACACACACACGTACATGCATGCACACAGCCACATACACATACACACACGCACACGCACACGCACACACACAAACACGCTCACAGTTACACACACAAAAAAAAAACACACACACACAATTTGAGGAGTGTAGAGTTTTAACATGATTCAGTGCAGGTTAAACAAGTAATAGATGCGATAATGAATGTCATCACCTCAGACCCTAATGCAAAATAGAACAAACACAAACTCTGATATTTAAATATAAAAGTTCACCCAAATGTCAAAAAAGTCCATTAAAATGGCTGAATAGAACCCTCAGAGCAGGTAATTAATCTATTTTGAATTCAAAAGTGGAGAAACATAACATTTCAATGATAATGACATTTTGAGTGGCTCCACGCTGTCATGTTTTGTGACTGGTGAGTCACTGAATTAAATTCATATTATGTCACCGTCTGAGCATGAGTGGAAAGAACTTTACTTCAACCTTATCATTTCAGCAAAATCAAGCCAAGCTAATTGACAGCTCAGGTAAGAACAAACCATGGAACTGCATGGGCCACTGACTCCTGAAGAGTGCACAAGAATATGTTAAAAATCAATCAATAAATACTTTTCAACCAAACTTTTACTTGAATACGATTTAATCACACTATATAAGAGCATTGCTGATTACATGAAGGGACAAATCCCTACATGAACATTGTAAACTTGTGGGATTGGATGAGGTATGTGCAGTTAGGTACACGTCTATTATTCCCTTGGGAGCCATTAAAGAGGGTGACTTGCAGGCCGCCTGTTTCTCAGTGTGGGACTAAGCTAGAGTAATTTGTGAGTTGTGTGGAGTGAGGAGAACTGGGCCCACCGAGTGGCCGTGGCAGTGTCAGGTCCAGAGCCGGGATAATGAGTCAGGTTGGATCATTAGGGCACTGAGACGTGCACACACTGAGACGTGCACACAAAGAACCAGACTTCAAAAGCCTCAGTGGAGCAATGGCTCCACACATCTCCTTTGACCACATTGTAAAAGTCACACATACAAAAGACAAGAAATAGGAAAAACACTTAGTTTTTCTTCCTCAGTTGTAATGTGGAGCTGTCTCTGAAATCTCATTCAGTCTTTACTTCTGGAAGTCATTTAACATCCTCTCATCTTTTTCAAAAGAAATAAAAAGTACTGTTTTTTTTTGAAGGAGAGAAAAATAAGCAAAGAAAGCAGGCCATGTCAGAATCAGAGTGATGCAGCACTCACACATTCTACGGCACTCATACAAGCCCTAAGGGAAAGTTAACATACAGTATGTTTCAGCCATACATTATTATGGGGACATAGGGGTTGTAGTGCATGTCTGACATCACTACTCATAATGACATCAGGAGTAGCTATACTGTAGCTTTTCTTCAACACTTGAATTGACACACAGACTTCACCTTAACTTCACCTTGATTCAAACCAATTGTAGGAAAGTTTGACATCCTCATTTGTTCAATTTAGACATTATGGAATCCTTTACCCTCCCCAACAGTCCTTTAGCTTGCCATTGTTGGGTAGAGCTCCAGAGTTTAATGATATGTGAGTGGAGCTGTTGCAGATAAGATGGACTCTGACAGCTCTGCTCCAGCACTGCGGGACCACTGCAAATGTCAGGAGCCAGACTACTGCATGTGGGGAGAGGTACAGGGGAGAAAGAGAGAAGGAGAGGTGTAGTGTGGGCTGTGTTTTTAGTTTGGAATGTGTGTGTTGGGGGTTTTCTGAGGGGATATTCCAGGCCTCAGGGTTAGAAGAGGCTGGCTACTGTACCGTGTCTAACACCCCCCTAGCCCAACACTCTGAGCTGAGGGAACCATCTTACTGAGGATGGTTTAAGTTAACACAGCCATCAACACGTCAGTCCGCGGGGCTCTGCTAGGTGAGTCGGCAGGCAGAACAGGGGTAATTCTAAATGGATCTGCTCCAACAAACGGTCAAAGCTCTGGAGTCCCAGCCCGTGATGAGAACTGAGAGGTTAGACAGACTCACATTAAGGATGAGCCTGCCTTTCACATCAACGCTCAACGCTCACAGAGCTCAGGCTTTAAAAGCTCTCTGAGGACCCAGACTGGTAGAAAGAAGCAGAGAGATAGAGAGTGAGTCACTACACAAGGCTTTGCTATTCCCTGCTCCTAATGATGACTCATGCCTAACCTTTACCAAGATACTACAGCATTGTCTATAGATTACAAACTATTTAATTTCCTCCACACAAAGGTAAGAAATGATGGGCCTTATTGCTTAAAAATACTGGGGCGAAGCACCGGTATGGGATGTGCATATCTCTCTCTCTTTTTCTTCCTTTAAGGTCTTATTCAAAAGACTACAAAATAAAAAGCAGAGCAGGTATTTGGTCCAGTGTGTACCATGCATAGGCCTACAGATATAGCCAAGCGACCCCTGGTTCAGTGTAACGTCGCTAACATGCTGACTACACCGGCCACGTGCTTGTGATCAGACACGATCATTAAATTTAAATTTTAGTCATTTAGCAGACACTCTTATCCAGAGCGACTTACAGTTAGTGAGTGCATACATTTTCATACAGGCCCCCCGTGGGAAACGAACCCACAACCCTGGCGTTGCAAGCGCCATGCTCTACCAACTGAGCTACAGGGGACATGTCATGCAGGTTAAAATATCAAAACCAACTGTGAACCAACTATATTAATTTGGGGGCATGTCAAAACACACATGAAACATTCATGGACATCTAGCTAGTTGCTATTGCTAGCTAATTTGTCCTGAGAGATGAACACTGGGTTGTTATTTTACCTGACATACATATGGTCTTCTTTTTAGCTGGTTCTTTGTAGAATTTAGACCTGGAGTCATACAAAATTGTGTGTTTCTCTACTCTGACGATTAATCCACAGATAGAAAGGGAAACCTAGTTCATTTTTAGTTCGTTATCTGTGATTAATCTCTCATTGTTTGTCTTTCAAGCATCCACTTGGGTTTGTATCTTCCTGATACCCAATAAGGAGGGGATTTGCAGTGCACAGAGCATCTCAAATAAAACCAAGTTCTATTTTAGCGCTTGGCAACGCATACGCTAATTCACGCGTGCAAGCGGTGTGTGTGAAATTATTGAATAATATGTACTGTATGTGTAAATGTATTTTGCAACACTGGCAGGCACAATGTGGCCGGTGTGGTTTGCCTGTAATGGGGCCCCATGAGGATGGAGGATGGCCTGCGTGTTGCAGACTTCAGTGACAAGTGTATCCCAGGTCAGGTCACCTTCTCAGAGCTACAGCAGAGCCATATCAGAACATCATGACTCATGTTCCCAATGGTACGGCTGCTCCTGTCTTCTCCCTCATGTAAAGAAGCACTCAGAGTTATACTGAGATGAGAAAAGACATTATTAATAGCAGGAGGGTTTATGGGGTAAGGGGCACTTGGAGTTTACAGTCTTTAATACTGGATGTACATGTAAATTGCTGTGTGTGTGTGTGTGTGTGTGTGTGTGTGTGTGTGTGTGTGTGTGTGTGTGTGTGTGTGTGCGTGCGTGCGTGCGTGCGTGTATGTATGTGCATGTCTGTGTACATCATCATACTTCTGGATGATTCCTTACTAAACTATAACATGATTTTGGGGGATTTTCACGAAACGTAATCCATAGAAGGGTCCTGTGGAGGAAGAACTGTTGAGAAATATTTGACATTTGTATTTTAAAGCATAATTGAGAAATAATTTATTGAAGTTGGAAAATGTTTGACATTTTGGCCTTACCCAGGCCTCCTTTAAGACTCCATGTTTCATTACATTTACATTTACGTTATTTAGCAGACGCTCTTATCCAGAGCGACTTACAAATTGGTGCATTCACCTTATAGCCAGTGGGATAACCACTTTACAATATGTTTTTTATTTTTTTATTTTTTATTCTTTTTTGGGTGGGGTGGGGTAAGGGGGGGTAGAAGGATTACTTTATCCTATCCCAGGTATTCCTTAAAGTGGTGGGGTTTCAAGTGTCTCCGGAAGGTGGTGAGTGACTCCGCTGTCCTGGCGTCGTGAGGGAGCTTGTTCCACCATTGGGGTGCCAGAGCAGCGAACAGTTTTGACTGGGCTGAGCGGGAACTGTGCTTCCGCAGAGGTAGGGGGGCCAGCAGGCCAGAGGTGGATGAACGCAATGCCCTCGTTTGGGTGTAGGGACTGATCAGAGCCTGAAGGTACGGAGGTGCCGTTCCTCCTACCTGTAGGTGCTACAAAACAAAATAAATGGTAATATGAAGCTTTACACTGTAATATGAGTAGTATTTTGATTTCAATATCAATTCTTAATTAGGAATATAAAAAAATCAAAAGATGAATATTGAAAATATTTTTTTAAATGTTTGTCTTATTTTTCAATATAGAGGAATCACCCTTCTATTAAAACTCTTTCATTGACATCAGTTGGATACCTAAATAAATTACACTAAGATATTCCTAAAACTCCAAACCTGACAGTCTCAAAGTCTCGTCAGCACATTTGTAAGCATAGCTGTACATGATTTTCATCATCTCAGGAAAAAAAAACGACAACACAAATATTATACAGCAATTTTCCCCTCGTAAATCTGTCGTTACATAAACTGTCTGGCCTAGTAGTTTGCTAATAGTGTAAACCCAATGTTAGAGACGTTATCAGAGGATTATGTTTGGATTATACAGTAATGATGAACACATAAGCACTGAGGAGAGACGATTACATATAGACATCTGTCCATCCCATAATATTCCTGGATATGAAATATGACTTAACCCTGACACACAGGAGATGATTTACTCTGTAAAACCAATGGAAGTCTATGGAGGGAATCTCAATGACTTACAACTGTGGCTGTTTTTCTATGACTATTTTTAAAAGACTGACTACCGGGCAATTGAGAGCACCAGACAGTAATGATCTAATTTTAAACTTTAAGCTCATTTTAAACTGTAAACTCATTTTAAACTGTAAGCTCATTTTAAACGGCAAAACTCATTCTCACTCTCGGCTGTCTCTGTCTGTGTCTGAGAGTTGAAAGGCTGAGAAATATGTCACTCATGGACAGCTCCTTCTCAGTTAAAGTACCCGTCCAAAGTTTGGACACACCTACTCATTCCAGGGTTTTTCTTTAGTTTTACTATTTTCTACATTGTAGCATAATAGTGAAGACATCAGAACTATGAAATAACACATGTGGAATCATGAAGTAACCAAAAAATGTTCAACAAATACAAATATATGTTATATTTTAGATTCTTCAAAGTAGCCACCCTTTGCCTTGATGACAGCTTTGCACACTCTTGGCATTCTCTCAACCAGCTTCACCTGGAATGTTTTTCCAACAGTCTTGAAGGAGTTCCCACATATGCTGAGCACTTGTTGGCTGTTTTTCCTTCACTCTGCGGTCCAACTCATCACAAACCATCTCAATTGGGTTGAGGTCGGGTGATTGACGTGGCCAGGTCATCTGATGCAGCACTCCATCACTCTCCTTCTTGGTCAAATAGCCCTTACACAGCCTGGAGGTGTGTAAGGGCTAAGCGCAAACCAGATCGGATGGCGTATCGCCGCAGAATGCTGTGGTAGCCATGCTGTTTAAGTGTGCCTTGAATTCTAAATAAATCACTGGCAGTGTCACCAGCAAAGCACCCCCACACCATCACACCTCCTCCTCCATCCTTCACGGTGGGAACCATACATCCGTTCACCTACTCTGCGTCTCACAAAGACACGGCGGTTGGAACCAAAAATCTAAAACTTTGACTCATCAGACCAAAGGACAGATTTCCACTGGTCTAATGTCCATTGCTCGTGTTTATTGGCCCAAGCAAGTCTCTTCTTCTTATTGGAGTCCTTTAGTAGTGGTTTCTTTGCTGTAATTCGACCATGAAGGCCTGATTCACGCAGTCTCTAATGAACTTATCCTCTGCAGCAGAGGTAACTCTGGGTCTTCCTTTCTTGTGGCGGTCCTCATGAGAGCCAGTTTCATCATAGCACTTGATGGTTTTTGCGACTGCACAAATAGGGCTATCTTCTGTATACCAACCCTACCTTGTCACAACACTACTGATTGGCTCAAACGCATTAAGAAGGAAAGAAGTTCCACAAATTAACTTTAAGGAAGGCACACCTGTTAATTGATATGCATTCCAGGTGACTACCTCATGAAGCTGGTTGAGAGAATGCCAAGAGTGTGCAAAGCTGTCATCAAGGCAAAGGGTGGCTACTTTGAAGAATCTCAAATATAACATATATTTTGATTTGTTTAACACTTTTATGGTTACTATATGATTCCATATGTGTTATTTCATAGTTTTGATGTCTTCACTATTATTCTACAATGTAGAAAATAGTAAAAATAAAGAAAAACCCTGGAATGAGTAGGTGTGTCCAAACCTTTGACTGGTACTGTAGGTCCAAATATATTTTTAGAGGGGCTAACATTATTGCCAAATAGGTGTTCACCCTACAATCAACCCAGCTTTAATAAAGTAAAGCAAGGGAAGTGTATACTTGTACTGGGATAGTAGCAGGTACTGTATACATATATTGCTAACTGGCATCTATGGAATAAGTGGAGCATCAGCTTTCTACTATACTATACAGTTGAGAGTTAATATTTACATTTGACATTTTTGACATATTTTAGTCATTTAGCAGACGCTCTTATCCAGAGTGACTTACAGTTAGTGAGTGCATATATTTTTCATACTGTAATAAAATGCGTAGTGCTGATATCCATCCACTTACAATGATGGATGTGCTTAAATGTCCACAGATGGAGGACACAATTATATTTCATCACTCACTCACTCCCCATCTGGCTTGCTGGTACTGATAGCCATGTGTACACAGAGCACATTACTACTCACATGCTACTAACATGGAGAGAAGGGCTTTGGTTTGAGTTCAAACAGTTCAAAGTGAGGAGGTTTTCTTGGATAGACTTATCTTAATAGATAAGAATCACCTAAATTAGACAGGGGACCGAGTGGCGTCACCACAGACCCGGGTTCGATCCCGGGCTGTATCACAACCGGCTGTGATCGGGAGTCCCATAGGGCGGCACACAATTGGCCCAGCATCGTCCGGGTTAGGGGAGGGTTTGGCCTGGGTAGGCCATCATTGTAAATAAGAATTTGTTCTTAACTGACTTGCCTAGTTAAATAAAGGTTAAATAAAAATGCTGCTTTGGGAGTCCATTGCTTGCTTTTAAAGACTGAACAAGTCTAAAATGTTTCCCAGAGATCTACTATATAATCTGCTAGGTTCTCTTAGTTTCATTTTTAAATTGACTTTATTACTTGATGGTGCACTTTCAGCCTCTCTCTTCATCTTTATGGATTTGTGCTGTACCCTGTTCAGAAATTATGTTCTGGTTAGTGCTGGATGAAATACAAGAGAGTCAATGTGCAGAATCTGCAGCACTCTGAATGTGGCAACAAATGTAACAGAGATTGATTTCAGCTGGTCTGAAGGAGGCTTAGGTGGACATTGATCTCTATGGGTGCATTCCAGAGGAGTCTGGTGGGAGTAGCTATAGGAGGACGTCTCATTGTAATGGCTGGAATGGAATTATTGGAACTGAGTACTTTTTAAAATGTATTGCTAAGTCCACACTCCTACAGGACAGTGTTGACTGAGACATCTGTCTGTGATGTAACTCCTAATGCCCAGCACCCTGCACCTGACAAGTTTGCCTGACTGGAGCCATCACAATAACCTTCCCTCCATCACCCTGAGCAGGAGAAAGAGCATTTGACCCCCAGCTTCACTCCTTTATACGTGAGCAGTGATGTTGAAAAAAGACTAAGTGAGCAACTCCAGTCATCTGTGAAGATCAGCCATACAAGTCTCACCTTCCTACAGAGAAGCATGTTTCTTTCTCAAAGGCAGCTATCACAACCATTGCCTAATCACACAATGGCTGGGGCTCACTGTGTGTAGTAATACTCAAACAAAATGTAATTCTCCCATTCTTTGGCAATATTAATCACTTCGTGTGGAGGCATCAGTGTGGTTCTCCTGTGATTCTTCATGTGGAAATGTGGGTCAGGAGAAGTGCTCATGGACATAATATGAAGATTAGGTCTCTCTCGCTGATAGAAAAAAAGTCAACTGGGTCAGGATGCTTTGGTACGAGAATTGAATGTACTCTGTTGGAGAGCATTCAAAATGTCAACAGGAAATATTTTGCAATTAATTATTGTCTTTAATAAAATAGCGACCGCTTTATGAAATTATTTTATGTATGACAAAACATGTTGTAAAAAGCACGTGAGCATGATGCCAACAGGCTATTTAAAATTAAATATTATACAATTAAATAAATACACAATTATTAACTAGCTTTTCCAGAACCTGTCTGTGAACTACTGCTATGTTCCAAATGCAAAACAACTCTAGCCCACACAGCAGGAACCCAATCCTTCAGAATACCTAATAGTAGCATAGCAGGCATAGTAGTAGAGATGTTAGATATTCTCTAATTATTTAATATTTTCTCCATGTGATCTTGACCATCATAGACTATAAAAGAAAGGCAGATAGACAGGCTGACAGGTTGAACAGTCAGCCTGGAGTAATAGAGAGAAGAAGAGAGCTTTTCTGGCTGGCTTGTTATTAACCAGAGGAAAATGTTTACTGGGCTGAGTGATTTGGACAAACACATACAGTGCCTTCAGAAAGTATTCACACCCGCTGACTTTTTCCACATTTTGTTGTGTTACAGCCTGAATTTAAAATAGATTAAATTGATATTTTGTGTCACTGGCCTACATACTATACCCCATAATGTCAAAGTAAATTTTTGAGAATTTGAGAATTCTTTACAAATTGATAAAAAATTAAAAGCTGAAATGTCTTGAGTCAATAAGTATTCAACCCCATTGTTATGGCAAGCCTAAATAAGTTAATTTGCTTAACAAGTCACATAACAAGTTGCATGGACTCACTCTGTGTGCAATAATAGTGTTTAACATAATTTTTTGAATGACTACCTCATCTCTGTACCCAACACATACAATTATCTGGAATTCAGGGAATTTCGAACACAGATTCAATCACAAAGACCAGGGAGGTTTTCCAATGCCTCGCAAAGAAGGGCACCTGGTACAGTATATGGAAGTGGTGTAAAGTACTTAAGTAAAAAATACTTTTTATTTTATTTATTTATTTCACCTTTATTTAACCAGGTAAGCCAGTTGAGAACAAGTTCTCATTTACAACTGCGACCTGGCCAAGATAAAGCAAAGCAGTGCGATAAAAACAACACAGAATTACATATGGGGTAAAAAACATAAAGTCAAAAATACAACAGAAAATATATATACAGTGTGTGCAAATGTAGCAAGTTATGGAGGTAAGGCAATAAATAGGCTATAGTGCAAAATAATTACAATAGTATTAACACTGGAATGCTAGATGTGCAAGAGATTATGTGCAAATAAAGATACTGGGGTGCAAAAGAGCAAAATAAATAACAATATAGGGATGAGGTAGTTGGGTGGGCTAATTTCAGATGGGCTGTGTACAGGTGCAGTGATCGGTAAGGTGCTCTGACAACTGATGCTTAAAGTTAGTGAGGGAGATAAGAGTCTCCAGCTTCAGAGATTTTTGCAATTCGTTCCAGTCATTGGCAGCAGAGAACTGGAAGGAATGGCGGCCAAAGGAGGTGTTGGCTTTGGGAATGACCAGTGAGATATACCTGCTGGAGCGCAGACTACGGGTGGGTGCTGCTATGGTGACCAATGAGCTAAGATAAGGCGGGGATTTGCCTAGCAGTGATTTATAGATGGCCTGGAGCCAGTGGGTTTGACGACGAACATGTAGTGAGGACCAGCCAACAAGAGCGTACAGGTCACAGTGGTGGGTAGCGTATGGGGCTTTGGAGACAAAACGGATGGCACTGTGATAGACTACATCCAATTTGCTGAGTAGAGTGTTGGAGGCTATTTTGTAAATGACATCGCCAAAGTCAAGGATCGGTAGGATAGTCAGTTTTACGAGGGCATGTTTGGCAGCATGAGTGAAGGAGGCTTTGTTGCGAAATAGGAAGCCGATTCTAGATTTAACTTTGGATTGGAGATTCTTTATGTGAGTCTGGAAGGAGAGTTTACAGTCTAACCAGACACCTAGGTATTTGTAGTTGTCCACATACTCTAGGTCAGACCCGTCAAGAGTGGTGATTCTAGTCGGGTGGGCGGGTGCCAGCAGCGTTCGATTGAAAAGCATGCATTTAGTTTTACTAGTGTTTAAGAGCAGTTGGAGGCTACTGAAGGAGTGTTGTATGGCATTGAAGCTCGTTTGGAGGTTTGTTAACACAGTGTCCAATGAAGGGCCAGATGTATACAAAATGGTGTCGTCTGCGTAGAGGTGGATCTGAGAGTCAAGTACTTGAAAGTACTACTTAAGTAGTTTTTTGGGTATCTGTGCTATTTATATTTTTGACTACTTTTACTTTTACTACCTTCCTAAAGAAAATGATATACTTTTTACTCCATACATTTTCACTGACACCCAAAAGTACTTGTTACATTTTGAATGCTTAGCAGGACAGGAAAATGGTACAATTCATGCACTTATCAAGAGAACATCATGGTCATCTCTACTGCCTCTGACCTGGCAGAGTCACTAAATACACATGCTTCGTTTATAAATTATGTTGGAGCGTGCTCCCGACTATCCGTAAATTAAACAAAACAAGAAAATGGTGCCGTCTGGTTTGCTTAATATAAGGAATTTGAAATTATTTATACTTTTACTTTTGATACTTAAGTATATTCAAAACTAAATACTTTTAGACTTTTACTCAAGTAGGGTTTTACTGGGTAACTTTCACTTTTACTTGAGTCATTTTCTGTTAAGGTATCTTTACTTTTACTCAAGTATGACAATGGGTACTTTTTCCACCACTGATAGATGGGTAAAAAAAAAAAAAAGCAGACATTGAATATCCCTTTGAGCATGTTATTAATTCGACTTTGGATGGCGTACCAGTCACTACAAAGACACAGGCGTCCTTCTTGACTCAACTGCCGGAGAGGAAGGAAACCGCTCAGGGATTTCACCATGAGGCCAATGGTAACTTTAAAACAGTTACAGAGTTTAATGGCTGTGATAGGAGAAAACTGAGGATGGATCAAAACATGTATTAGTATATATATATTTTTTAGCAAAGTTAATACAGATGTGGATAGTTATTTGTGAAACAGAGAATCAGCAGCAGACAGTGTAGACTAGGAGATGCTCACAAGGAGAGAGACGAAATGGGTGATAGACAGCTAGATCTCGCCCCACAGCTGGTCATGCAGAAACAAAGTGGAAAATACCCTCCACATCAAATGTGTATATCTAGGCAAAACCATGGTAGTCAGAGATGGACTTTTACCTCAGAAGGTTTGGTGGGGTCATGAACACTAATGTGAGAGTTGCCATGAAATACACAAACTTAACATTGATAATGGATGACCAATAAGGGAGTAAATGTTACCAAAGAACACATTTGCATCTTTGGCGTAGCCTATATTTTCAGGCTATTAGTATGGTGATATTAGACCTTTAATGGGGAATTTATTATAGTGATATTTATTCTAATCAACAGTGACCCAAAATAGTATTCAATTTCCCCTGGATTAGTTGCCTGTACCGGAGGAGAAAAACATCAGCTCAGGTAAGTGGCTTCCATAAAGACAGAGGCTAGTGGCTCATACCATGGGTTTGAGTTAAATAACCATTCTCCTTAGCGTGATTCAATGAAAGTTACCTGAGGACTTGGCATGTGAGCAGATGTTCTGATACGGTCAAACATAGCATGCAGATACAGTACAGCATATTAGGATGATGTCCTCAGGACTCTGACAAGACCTCGTCTCCCTGCATGGCGTAGCGTGTTTATTAATGGCCCACAACAGGCTGACAGTAGACTAACAGGCTAAACAGCTGATACAGCTCATAATAAGAAGAATAGTGGAATCTGGGTAATGCATGTCTGGAATCCACCGTTTAGCCAATCAGAATGCGTGGCTGAATAGAATTTACCGTTTCAAGGGAAAACACAAAAATAGTAAACATCACATCTCAGCATAGTGTTCAATTCCTTTCAAATGTTTAGTGTGTTCTCAAAAACAGCAATAGATAGCCTATAGGTTGCTTGTGTTAAGATCTGTTTTTGTTGCTGTTTCGTTTTACCTCTCAGTAGGAGCAGAGCTTGGCTCTATCTCCTGAGGACCTATCTATTTATCCCACCTCAGAGAAACAGATGGAGGCGTGCAGCGGGTGGTCCCTGAATAAGACCAATTACCCAGACACAGACACAGACAGTCCTGGCATACCAGCACTACACGTTGGCAGGATAGCACCATACGAGGAGGGCAAAGCATGAGCAGCCATGATCAATTATTTGCAGTATTCTCACTCTCCTCTCCGTCTCTCTCGCTCTCTCTCTCTCTCTCGCTCTCTCTCTCCATCTCTCTCTCTCTCTCTCTCTCTCTCTCTCTCTCTACCCAGCTCTCTTTCTCTACCCATCTCTCTCTCTCTCTCTCGCTCTCTCTACCCATATCTCGCTCTCTCGCTCTCTCTATGTTCAGACTGAGGTGGTCGTTATAGTGTCACAGATAATGGGTTAGATTTTTTCTTTTGGGGTTGGCTGAGAAGGCTCTCTCCATAAAGATATAAATCTTTAGTAGTTTTTCAGCCGTTCAAGAAAAAATGTCTAATAAAAATGCTATAAAATGATTACATCAGTACAATAAATAAATATTGAAGGTTTGTGAGGTTGTTTACAACTCAGAACAGCCCAGTCTCTTAGAAAGTGAAAAGATAAAAGCTAGCTGCTCAGAGGGGAATTTGTAAATCCACAGAAACAAGGCAAGTTATTGATTAATCAATATGTCAGTCAAGGAGCTGTTGCTGAGTGGCACAGAGAGACACAGAGAGAGGAGATAGGAAGACAGAGACAAACAGAGAGATGCTCATCTCTCATCAAAGTCCTGATGTATACTGCCCCAGACACCCATGAATAGGAGATGTGTCACGCTCGTTGATAGATGGATCAGACCAAGGTGCAGCGTGGTATGCGTACATATTCCTTTATTAACTGAATACAGAATCAAAACAACAAATTACAAACGAACGTGACGTTCAACAGGCTACACAAGCCAAAACAGAAACAAGATCCTACAACTAAGGTAGGCAAAATGGCTGCCTAAGTATGATCCCCAATCAGAGACAACGATAGACAGCTGCCTCTGATTGGGAACCACACCCGGCCAACATAGAAATAAAACAGCTAGAAATTCACACCCTGACCAAACCAACTAGAGAAAACAGGGCTCTCAAGGTCAGGGCGTGACAAGGGCGTCAAAGGATCCCTCCCTTTTTTCACTGGATGTGGGGAGATAATCTTTTTGATTACCTATCACCAGTAATATGGTTGTGGAAAGTCAAATTAACACGTTTTTTAAGCATATTTTTCCTAAATAGGAATAGTATCTGTGTTTCACCACAACAGCAACCTGAATCTAATCCCTAGATAGAGGAGGCAGAGAAATACGCTTTGTTACAGCGCCACAAAAAACAACAATACAGAGCCTGATCTTTTGTCAGCATTTGGGTGCACCATTGGGTCAGGAGATAAGCAATCCCCTGTGGACTGTGGACAGATGTGATCCGTCTCTGGCTGCATCTCTGTTCCTTGCTCACTGCCCAGATCAGACGGTGACCTGTGGAGAAACAGCTCTGCCCTGGGGGTCTGAAAGGCAGCAGGAGCTTTTGACACATCAGCCGTCATCATCAGAGGTGATGGGAGATAGCACCGCGCTATAGAGAACATGGGCCAATCATCAGAAGTGATGTGAGAGAGCACAGAGATAAAGATATTTTGGTCTGTCATCAGAGGCGATGGGAGAGAGCACAGAGATACAGAGAACATGGACCAGTCATGATCCTACTACAACTAATTAACCCAGAACTGAAGTCTTGAGTAATTGATCAGCGGCTCGATTAAGTTCTGGGTCCATACATGTTAAGAGAAGGGATTATTAAGAGATGCTAGAATGAGGAGCGGAACCGGAACGAGGAACTCCACCCTCTCTTTGCAGGTGATTTGTCCAAATATCCAGTGACGAAAAACCCAAACACCGGAACTACTGCTGCTCATTATCCCACGCATCCCATTCCTTCCCGACAGATTCTACGGTACTAGTTATGTTTACGTAGATCTGTCCACAAGAGATTACACTACAACTCATCCCCACTGGGTCTAAAGAAAAGCACTGGGGTTTTGGCATCATGTAGGCATAATTTAGCTGGTGCCATGAAACAGATGTTTTACTGCTCTAATCACAGTAAAAAGGTCAGATGTTCAATTTGACTTCCTCCAAGCACATGTTTTGGCCATTGAAATCATTGATTTATTGATGTGTTATCCAATGCATTATTGGCAAAGTCATTAATAATGCAGGTCTTGTATATTTGAATAGATTTGTGTGGAAAATACGAACCATTCAGCATTAATGGTTAAAAAAAGGCTGAAAATATGCATGTGTGTGAAGGGTGAGGGTAGTCTCATGAAGATCAAGCCATAAACCAAGAACAAGTCAGCGGCACATCTCAGATGATAAGCCCAGTCCAGGTGTGCCTCTCCCTTGGCCTGGCGCCTGACAGAGGCGTTATTGAGGGAGATATGGGAGGCAGATGTGGGGATAGGGTTTCATGAAAAACGCCCAGCATGTAATTCCCACATAGCTGTGGCATGGCCTTATGACCGTCTCAGACAGAGACATCACATAATTCCTTATGTGGTTGGAGTGATGTGGGGGGTTCAGGGACTGTCATCTGTCTCTCTGGACCAGTGGTAAGCTCACTCTGCCCTCAGGGAGCTAAAAGCCAGTTAGAGCACATCTCGATCCACTGAGTTGTGTGTAATGACAGTGGTCTCGGCTGACAACACCAATACATGTATAATAGGTACTATTCCAGAATAAGCATCTTCTGACCAGGGGACTATACAATATTATTCCAGCTGGAACTAGTAAGACATACAAAGAAAGAATAGTGCTCTATTTGAAAGCTTTTATAAAGCACTGACCTTCTGAGGAAACCATTGTTATGATGATGATGATTATAGTATTCTATGTGCTGTACTGATATCTTTGTGTCCTTCTCTGAATGTGCTTGTCAATATCTCTTTCTGTCATTCCCCTGGTGATTTAGTGGGGCCGCATGGGACAGATCAGCACCTATCATCAGGATTATAAAGACATAAGGGGTTTGGTCTGATAAAGCCCTGGCCACAGCCACAGCCCTAGCCTTTCCCTAATAATAATGCCCAACAAATGCTTCTCCACACGGCAGCCAGGTCATGGCTAGATGGAATACAGTTTATGTCATATTGACGTCTAAAATAGTTGTTATTTTATTTTAGATAACCTTAACCCTTTTCCTAACGTTAACCTAATTCTCCTAACCTGCTACTTTAATTCTCCTAACCGGCTGCCTAAGTTCTCCTAACCTACTACGAAAAGTAAATTCTGGTCAATTATGACAGAAGCTGTATCCCATCTAGTCAAAAGACCAGCCATGCAGGCGCACAAAGACACAGACAAAGGTCCCATGGAGAAATGCTGTAGCCTCAGCAACATCCTTATCTGGCCAGGCCAGGTCAATGCTGCTTGTGAAAAGGGGAAAATCAGTGTGATTTATAGAGCGGCACAGAAAGCTACAGATGGAGTCAGTGATAGGCGCTGCTCACCCAAAGCTGTTTAAATACACAGACAGCAATCATGGCTGATAACCTGGGCTGTGTCTCCCTGATGCTCTTTGGGGAGGAGACAATAGCTGTGCCCTAAGGCTAATTAACGGGCTCACTCTGTATGAGACGGCTCTGTTCTGCTCGTTAGTGCTGCGTACTCACAGAAATGCAGATAAACCCCCCCACCCAGTCACACACCTCCTCTCCCTTCTGCTCTCACCTTCCAAACCTCCCCTCAGATCCACCCCTCTCTCCTCCCTCTCTTCTTGGCTCCGTGGCTTGGCTGCATGCTCACTGTCCCGAAACATGATGAACCATTCAGCCCTTTGGGAATTTCTCCTCCCAGCTAGCGTCAGCTACATCTGTGTCTGTCAGGGAGGACAGCAGTATCAGCAGGGATCAGGCATCCTCTCCTTTCCTCTCTGCCACAGACACTGACTGAGCTCCAACTTCACTGAGAGGGAATGAGCGTCACCAGCCAGTCCACAGCAGTTCAGGGGAAAAGTTTGCCCCTCCTCTTTCTCTCTGTCTCTCTCCTCATCAGAAACCTTCCTCTACACCTCTAGAGCATTGGTTCATTCACAAATAACAAGGTAAGGATACCATGCAACTTGTGGATACTTTTCTTCATTGGACTGCTACGTTGACTGATTTCTCAAAAAAATATATTTCTGAAGAGATGTCCTCTCCTCTGTTGTCAACGTCTGAGCGGTGATAACTAAAGCCTTCTGTTTCCCGACATACTATATTACTCTACACTCTGGGATCTATCTATCTGGACTTCTGTAGCATGTTGGGATACTGTCAGTTGGATTTCTCAACCGCTGTGACCTCCTCCTCATCCTCTTTCCCAGGGTTGTGATTACACTTTTCAGCCCTAAGATTAACCTGGAGAGTTCCGAGCAAACCAAAGGGATTAAATATGACCTGGGAGAATCTATCTTTACACATCAAGGAGATCCTACTGTCACACTGAAGGCAACGGGGCTTGGCCGCTTGGATAGTGAAAGTCAACTGTGAGTATGTGTCTGTGGCTTGCTCTGCTTTTTCTAGAGAAACACAAGTGATTCTTCTGGGAGTTTTATATGCACAGAAGTGTGACCTCTATAAAGGCGAGCAGAAACTGCTACAAGCATGTCTGAGAGGTCTTAGCATGTATATTTAATGCTGCCTTTTACCTTAATGAAAGGAACAGTTAGGTGGTGCTCAAACAGAGAGAAAGAGTTACAGTGGAAAAGGAGCAGGCAGTCACATAGGGATACCGTATCAAATAGCAGCACACACATTTAGGTTTCTACAGTGAATCACTGATGAATTACAAATAGACAGGTTTCCTAAAGAGGTAGCAGCTCTTGGAAACTTCATACCTCTATCTCAGGTCACCTTTATATACATGTACTGTACATCTCTATACCTTGATCTCACGTCACATTTCTATACAGTTACTTAATTTTCCTCCCCATTCATCACTTTTAATCTTCCTCTTCCTCCATCACTCTATTCTCCTCTGACAGCCCACTGTGCTCCCACCCCCTGTACATCCCATTTTCTTGATATATCCCTGACCTCTCTCACACTCTATATCCTTCTGTTTATTTTCTCAAAATCTTCTTCTCCCTTTCCTTATTATTACGTTTTCTTCATCTTCCTCCCTCCTCCAGTCTTGCTTCCTTTCACATCCCTCTGGCTCTTTTTAGCTTTCTTATTCTCCTCTAATGAACCAACTCTCCTATCTCTCCTTTCCCTGTGTCTCTTCTCTTCCTCTACCTCTCGTTTCCCCTGGAGACAGGGGACTCAGGTGATTGAGAATGAGCATGTGCAGAAAAAAAGCTCATGAAGAGAACAACACTAAAGCCCTAGTCCTAGAACTTGTTACCTTGTCAACTCAACAGAAAAAGTATTATTATTATTATTATACATTGAATTTGAATTTTGTACACAGTGGGATTGTCCCCAAATGGTCCCAAGGAATCTAGCTACTGTACAACCCACTGTAGGCTGTCTCTCATCCTAAGGTTCCACTCCTCCACCTCCCAATACCATTCAATCTTTATTTTACCCATTGAAGGGGCTATGTGCCCCTCCAAGCCTTCGAACCCCTCCCCTGCTCTTTGACTGAATGAAAATGACAGAAAAAGGATTAAGCAGTGGAGCGTGATTTTAACGAGTCCTTTCAGCCCTCACACTTGGTGGAGCGTTAAAGAAATGTGTTGAGGCACAAGGCTATCAAATATTCAGGGTTAGGTTGCCACAAAACAGGAAGGATCTGCCAAGCTTGGAGACATGACAAATGGGACAGTGGTAGTGGTAAAGACCTTGTTTCCCCTGTGTCCAATGGAGCCTCACATATGGGAAGATAAAGAGCCTCATTGTTATCACAAGGCAATTAGGAATCATGTCTGGGGAGAAGTCAAGGCTTTCTACAATACTGTATATCACCAGAACCAGAGTTCACTTGAGTTGCTATAGGGGAGAGTGGGGTAAGTTGAGCCAAAGGAGTAAGTTGAGCCACCCTTGTTTCTAGGAAACCATACACAAAATGTATCACTTGACCAAATATTTAGGAAGAGGTCATCATTTCATGGAGTATGTGAAGGAAGAAACCACATGGAAAAAGTGAAAAACCCACTGGGCAAAAACTGGTTGAATTAATGTTGTGTCAATATAATTTCAACAAAGAAATGCAATGTTATGACATTGAATCAACGTGGAAAACTGATTGAATTTACAAAAAGTAATCAACGTAAGGGAATTTCGTATTTTTTCACCCAACTTAAATCCAATGTCATGGTGACACTTTTTGCTGATTTCATGTTGAATTCACGTTAGTTGACAACTCAACCAAATGTAATTCAAAAATAGACGTTGATCTGACGTCTGTGCCCAGTGCGAAGCAAGTTAGCTCAAATTAATTGTATTGTGTTAGAGGTTTCATGATGCTTATATCTAAACCAAAGTAGATAATTTTAAGAATGTTCTTTACATCAGTTGGGGTCTCTATAAGCTTAAATATGAGGGTAAGTTGAGCCAATGGCCTTGGGGTAAGTTGAGCCAATGGTTGAGCCAATGGTAAGTTTAGCAAATTGAAGTGTTTTCTTCCCAGGTACAATGCAAGGCATTATCGCTGGGATATGAGGTAACAACTAGGCCTGGCCTAAGTTAAAATCAAAAAAAAAATAATACTAAGTGTTTGTTAGGTGTTAAGCCTCTGTTAAAAGATGCTTAATCCTTGGCCTACAATTTCTTAGGGCCCGCGGATATCTAATTAACATAATAAAAAAATCCCCATCAAAATCTGTCTGTTTAAGTTAGAGATATGTGTTTTTGCATGGGCTACGTCTCAATCCACCGCATCCACCGATATATATATATATATATATATATATATTAAAAAATTAAAAAATTGCCTTTGCGCATCTGCGGTGAAAGGTGGCAGAGCTAGAGCTGTGTTTGTCAGACCATGAGACATCCCGAAAATCGGTCTTCTCATGAAAACGTCTGTAGCGTCAGAACGGCTTGGCCTAAAAAACTATTATGGCCACTCCATTGAAAGATGGGACTCTCACGAACACGATGGTGTTCTCCGTTTTGATCTAGGACGCCCCACAAGACTCATCTGAAGTCGGTACAACCTCTTCTGCCAACTTCTGTCTGTAGTGTCCGAACGGTTTGGGCTGCACACTAATATGACCCCTCTGTGGAAAGTAAGGGGATAAATACAGTACATGTCAAAAAATATATATATATAGTTTCCTGGTCTTTCATATAGCTCTCAGATATTTTGGGGGGACTATCTGTTGTTCCATGTAGTGAATCTGTTATTCAATGTGTTTCTATTGGCTAATAGCAGTAATGCCAAATTCAATGTTTCATCCAATAATTTTTTTATATATATTTTTGATACCTTAAGGGGTCTTAAAATTAGGGTAAAATGATTAAAAAACTAAAGACAAAGCAATTGTGATTGTGTTGAATTGTGATTTGGAAAAAAAGATAGACATGATCCACGTTTCCATCCAGTTTTTATGCGAGTAAAAAAAATTATAACTACAACTGTGATGGAAACAGGAAGTTTCGGTGCAATTTAATAAATGCCAACAGATCATTTGTTTGTTCGACATGGTGGGATCTTTTTGTGTCGGTAAAATGTATTATGCGAGAAATGGAGGTGGAAACGCCTTTATGTACAAATATTGATATAATAACCATCATATCGAAGTAAACTTGGAGTCACACAATGACATGTTGTGTGGTCCTCCCACTACGACTCGGGAAACCATGCAGTTTATTAGGCTACATATGAAATAAGTTATGATGAACTTCACAGGGTTGTGAAAGTGCACAGTGATCTTGATGCTCCATTCCAATAAATATCGAGGGTCTTATTCTGGTGACATGATGATCTATGCTTGACTGCCGTTTGACAAAAAAAATATACAGTGCTATGAAAAGTATTTGCCCCCTTTCTAATTTTCTCTACTTTTGCATATTTGTGATACTGAATGTTATCAGATCTTCAACCAAAACCTAATATTAGATAAAGGGAACATAAGTGAACAAATAACACAACAATTACATATTTATTTCATTTATTTCATAAACAAAGTTATGCAACACCCAATTCCCCTGTGTGAAAAAGTAATTGCCCCCTTACACTCAATAACTAGTTGTGCCACCTTTAGCTGCAATGACTCCAACCAAATGCTTCCTGTAGTTGTTGATAAGTCTCTCACGTTGCTGTGGAGGAATTTTGGCCCACTCTTCCATGCAGAACTGCTTTAACTCAGTGACGTGTGGGTTTTCAAGCATGAACTGCTCGTTTCAAGTCCTGCCACAACATCTCAATTGGGATTAGGTCTTGACTTTGACTAGGCCATGTGGACAACTACAAATACCTAGGTGTCTGGTTAGACTGTAAACTCTCCTTCCAGACTCACATAAAGAATCTCCAATCCAAAGTTAAATCTAGAATCGGCTTCCTATTTCGCAAACAAAGCCTCCTTCACTCATGCTGCCAAACATGCCCTCGTAAAACTGACTATCCTACCGATCCTTGACTTCGGCGATGTCATTTACAAAATAGCCTCCAACACTCTACTCAGCAAATTGGATGTAGTCTATCACAGTGCCATCCGTTTTGTCTCCAAAGCCCCATACACTACCCACCACTGTGACCTGTACGCTCTTGTTGGCTGGTCCTCACTACATGTTCGTCGTCAAACCCACTGGCTCCAGGCCATCTATAAATCACTGCTAGGCAAATCCCCGCCTTATCTTAGCTCATTGGTCACCATAGCAGCACCCACCCGTAGTCTGCGCTCCAGCAGGTATATCTCACTGGTCATTCCCAAAGCCAACACCTCCTTTGGCCGCCATTCCTTCCAGTTCTCTGCTGCCAATGACTGGAACGAATTGCAAAAATCTCTGAAGCTGGAGACTCTTATCTCCCTCACTAACTTTAAGCATCAGTTGTCAGAGCACCTTACCGATCACTGCACCTGTACACAGCCCATCTGAAATTAGCCCACCCAACTACCTCATCCCTATATTGTTATTTATTTTGCTATTTTGCACCCCAGTATCTCTATTTGCACATAATCTCTTGCACATCTAGCATTCCAGTGTTAATACTATTGTAATTATTTTGCACTATAGCCTATTTATTGCCTTACCTCCATAACTTGCTACATTTGCACACACTGTATATATATTTTCTGTTGTATTTTTGACTTTATGTTTTTTTACCCCATATGTAACTCTGTGTTGTTTTTATTGCACTGCTTTGCTTTATCTTGGCCAGGTCGCAGTTGTAAATGAGAACCTGTTCTCAACTGGCTTACCTGGTTAAATAAAGGTGAAATAAAAATAGAAATTCCAAAATGTCCAATTTGTTGCTTTTTAGCCATTTTAATGTAGACTTGATTGTGTGTTTTGGATCATTGTCTTGCTGCATGACCCAGCTGCGCTTCAGCTTCAGCTCACAGACAGATGGTCTGACATTCTCCTGTAGAATGATCTGATACAGAGCAGAATTCATGGTTCCTTCTATTAAGGCAAGTCGTCCAGGTCCTGAGGCAGCAAAGCATCCCCAAACCATCACACCACCACCACCATGCTTGACATTTGGTATGATGTTCTTACTGTGGAATGCAGAGTTTGGTTTTCGCCAGGCATTACTGGAACCACTATCACACTTTATTTTGATAGTCCGGATAGTCCATCTGTAGATGCTTTACATACGGTCATACTATCAAGAAACTACCTGTTGATAAGCAACTGCTTACTAAGGTTAAGGTTAGGGTTAGGTTTAGAATAACGGGTTAGGGTTAAGGTTAGGGTTGGGGCTAGGGTTAGGGTTAGGGTTAGGTTTAGGATATGGGTTAAGGTTAGGGCTGTGGCTTGTAGATAGTTGAAATGTTACTGATAGTCTGTAGAGCATCTACAGATGGACTATCCAAATAAAGTGTTACTGTGTTTTCAAAACTGTAATGTTTACATGAATTAAGATTATTTCTAGGGATACACAGCATCCTGCAATATATGTAGATATATTTGTTGGAAATAATACTATTTTTCTCTTAATGGAGTGATGCAGAATGTAAATAAATTCTAAATGTACCCCACTCTCCCCTATTAGGCAACACCTGCAAGTATAGGAATAATATATTACTGTATTTCATATTGTATTTCAAAGTCTACGTATTCTTCAGTTCTAGTGACTTTTTGGCAGCTATTTGGCAGGTCCAAAAGGCTTCTTAACAGCTTCTACCCACAAGCCATAAGACTCCTGAACAGCTAATCAAATGGCTACCCGGACTATTTGGATCACTTTATCTCTACCTACATGTACATATTACCTCAATTACCTCAACTAACCTGTGCTCCCGCACATTGACTCTGTACCGGTACCCCCTGTTTATAGCCTCGCTACTGTTATTTTACTGCTGCTCTTTAATTTATATTATTATTATTTTTTGCTATCTATTTTTTGCTTAACACTTATTTTTCTTAAAACTGCATTGTTGGTTAAGGGCTTGTAAGTAAGCATTTCACTGTAAGGTCTACACCTGTTTTATTCGGCGCATGTGATAAATACAATTTGATTTGATTTGATTACACCCAAGCACATTTCACCCACCTGGTTGAAAATGACTTTAGAGAAGTTGCCAGTAAGCATAAATACTCTAAAGATAACCTCAGCGCAGAAGAGTTTGTAGAACTAAAAGGTATGCAAAACAACTATAATCTTCTACTTTGCTGTTGTGGTACAAAGTTATGAACAATATCACAAGGGCATTATGAACAATAGAACAACAGAGAATTCTATGTCCCCTTACACACAAACCCTACGAATCATATTGAGTGAAATGTATGCATATATTAACAGTGCTTTAGACCAAGGTTGGATTACTAAAAAGGAGAGGGCATATAGTCTCTGGTAATGATAGCCTCACAGAAACGCTATCCCAATTTGTAGATTTTTTAATTACAAAGTTGGTTCCTTCCCTCCCAGCATTCTTGGGCGACCCCTGATGTGCTACAGTTTCTTGAGAATGTAAAAGTTGAATCTAATGATATACTTGTAACTATGGATGTTCAAAGTCTTTATACAAACATTCCCCATGCAGGAGGCCTCTTCCACTATCTAGATACACACCCATGAAGGTCTGCTGCCCCATTCTGGTATTATTTTGACATTAACCGAAATGGCCTTATCTATTAACTTTTTTTCAATATGCCGGTGAACAGCGATGGGAGCTGCAAATGGTGCTCATTTGTTAATGGGTTTCTGAGAAGAAAAAATCATTAACAATGCTGTATCTAACCCGTTCTTTTCTAATATTGTCTTGTGGCACCGATACATTGATGATATTCTAGTAGTCAGGAGGGGCACAGAAAATAATTTGAGCAGATTTTTGTTGTATGCTAATCCCCATTTATCATTTACAGAAGAAAAACATTGCACTTCCTCTGTCAATTTCCTCAACCTCACAATTTTGGGGTAATAGGTGATAGCCTATGCTTAAAACAACTATTTTTTTGCAAACTTCAGTAGGCTCCAGTCTTAAGACATGATAGTAATCATCCTAAACCTCTAAAACGCAATATTCCTACTGGTCAATTCCTTAGACTAAGGCGAAACTGCAGCAAATCTAATGATTTTGAGACTAAAGCTGAAATAATGAAAAAGAGGTTCCTTGAACGCGGCTTAGTGAGCTCCTCAACATGACTTATAAACAATCCCTCTACACCAAAAAAGACAAACGTGAGAAATCTGCTAGGGTTTGTTTTCCCCACTGAATAGCTTAGAACACCTCTGCTGGGCAGATAAAAAGCGTGATCGTCAAACACTGGAACATTCTCCAGAGTGACCCTTGCTCAAAGACTTTGCGTCTAACCCTCCCCTGATATGCTTTAGGAGGGGTCGCGTCGCAACATCAGAGACCTACTGGTGCACAGTGTGCTCCCGGTTTTCGGTGGATTTGAAGTGAGGAGGTTGGCGGGCGAGAGTTTGAGGGAGTACAGGGTTTAGCATTTCTCTCGAGAAGCCTAAAAATAGATTTTGTCTTGTTAAAGTTGAATCTTTTCAGGAGTCGGGTAATTGGTTACTAGGAGGAGGATTGGAGGGAAAGAGAGAGGGTGTTGAAAAGACTGAGGGAGGCAGAGGATGGGTTTGAATCTGTTGAAGCTAGCAATAACAAGGGAGAGGGTATGTCGAGGAAGATTGATGTCAAGTTCAAACAGAGTGAGCCGACACCAGTTCAAGTCCTGGAGGTGAAATGGAAGGGGTAGAAGATGTTGTGAGGAGCTCGGAGCCCGAGCCTTGCATTGATGGACATGGTTATGATAAAGATATATTTGGTCCAGTGGGAGTGAGATTTATGAAGAGGGTGAAACTAGGCCTTTTGGCTGATCCATGTGTGGTTTCAGGTTGGGTGGAAAAGATGGTGGGTGCTGTTGAGTCGGTGAAGGTAACCCAAAGTGGATGTGTGATGTTTGTTTGTGTGTCTTCAGATCAGAGGGAGCAGGCAGTCTGTGCGACGCAACTTGGGGAAAGACCTGTATCTTGCTTTGCCCTTAGGTACAGGGCACCATTGAAGGGAGTGATTTCTGGGGTAGCGTTAAGTGTGGAGGTGGAGCAATTTAAGTTGAAGATTCCTGGTGTTTGTGTTGCCCGCCCGTTGGTGCAATGCAGATCCTGTGGGGAGCGTGGTGAAACAGAGGTGACACAGTCTGTTCTTTTGAGATTTGATTCAGAGTCTTTACTTGACAAAGTAATGTTAGGATATATGAGTAATGCTGTTAGAACTTTTGTGCCGAATACACAACAGTGTTATAGGTGTCACGTTTATGGGTATGTCGCAGCAGTGTGTATGAGGGAGATTCCAAGATGAGGGAAGTGTGCAGGAGGACATGGGACAGAGGAATGTGTAGTTTCGGTGGAAAAAGTTGTGTGTGTCAACTGTAGGGGTGCCTGTGTTGCTGGGTTCGGAGGTGTCAGGTGCGAGAGAGGTAGGTTGAGGTGGTAGTGCAGAAGATGTCATATGCTGAGGCAGTGAAGAAAGTAGAGGAAGGTGGATCAAGGGTGAAGGATTCTGAGAGGATCCCTGTGAATAGTAGATCTCTGCCAGAACAGAGGGATAGGCCAATGAGTGATATATAATTTCAGTAAGTTTGGCTTCTTAGCGTTCATAGCAATGGTTATGAACTGTACCGCAGAGATGGAACGTAAGTCAAAGAAAATAGATGTTGTGATGGCAGCTGCAGAGAAGTACTTGGGGGAACGAGATTTGACTTCAGAAGAGTTACAGGGTGTGTTGAGTGGTAGTGTCCCGTCCTCTCGGGTCATTGGCCTGGGGTGTGATCTGATAGGGTTAAAGTAGTGGAATAAGGTGGTGGGTTTTAATGAGTGTAGGGTTAGTTGTTAGGGAAATTTTCAATATATTTGTATTTTATTTTTCCCATTTCCCCTTTTCCCTGTCACGGATTCTGCCGAGGCTGCTCCTCCTCCTAGTTCGGGCAGGCTTCGGCGTTCGTCGTCCCCAGAGTACTAGCTGCCACCGTTGAATGTTTCTATGTGTGATTGCTTTTGTCTGTCTGTCACACCTGAGTCCGTTTGTGTCTGATTACGTGTTCTATAAGTTGCCTGTGTTGTATTGGTTAGGTTGTGTGTTGTTTTTCGCCTGTCCGTAGTGCTGCGTGTTTTTTCTCTGTTTTGTTGTTTTACGCATTGTTGCGTAATTGCTCGCCTCTGTCGTTTTGAGGCCGTTCTTTGTATCTTTGCCTTGTGGTTCACAAGTAAACTTTGTTGGACTAAGCTTCGGTGTCCTGCGCCTGACTCCCACACCACATACACCTCAGCCTTGACAGAACAACACACCAGTATGGAGTCAGCAGGAGCAGTGACGGCACCCAAGTCGCTGGAGGATCGGATCAGCGACCAAGACACCATGATCCGGCAACTTGGGGCCGCCATGAACGAGGTGTCCAACACTCTACGCCGGTTGGTTACGGGAGAGGTGCCCACGCCTTCTCACACCATCCCGTCACCAACGGCCAGTCCTCCTCTCTCAGCACCGGGACCCAGTGGCATTCGGCTCTCGCTCCCGAGGGCATATGATGGTTCTGCAGCCGGGTGTCAGGGGTTCCTCCTGCAGGTGGAACTCTACCTGGCCACCATACACCCAGCGCCCTCGGGATACGAGAGCGTCTCCGCCCTCATCTCCTGTCTATCCGGCAAGGCGTTGGAGTGGGCCAACGCCGAATGGAGGGGAATAGACGCCGCTACCATCACCTACGCGGAGTTCTCCCGCCGCTTCAGGACTGTCTTCGATCATCCACCTGAGGGGAAGGCGGCGGGGGAGCGTCTGTTCCACCTCCGACAGGGGAAGAGGAGCGCACAGGAGTTCGCCCTGGAGTTCCGGACTCTAGCGGCGGATGCGGGGTGGAATGAGAGGGCCCTCATCGACCATTACCAGTGTAGCCTACGAGAGGACGTTCGTCGTGAGCTGGCCTGCAGGGACACCAACCTATCCTTCGACCAGTTGGTGGACATCTCCATCCGTCTCGACACCCTGCTGGCTACCCGCGGACGTCCCGAGTGGGGGTCATCCATTCCACCCTCCAGCACCTCCGAGCCGATTCCCATGGAGCTCGGAGGTGCTGGCGCTAGAGAGAGGAGGAGAGAGAGCCGTAGGGGGGCCATCCCCTGCACCAACTGTGGCCGTGGAGGACACACCGCGGCCAGGTGCTGGGGAGGGTCTCCTGGGAGAGGGGACAACAGGTCACGCACTGGGGAGTCATTCCAGGTGAGTAGGCGCCCCACTTACCCAGAGCTCTCTGTTGGTCACATGTGTATACCTGTGAGATTTCCACAGGTGGCACCTCATTCCCAGCATAAGGCGCTAGTAGATTCAGGCGCAGCTGGGAATTTTGTTGATCGTGCATTTTGTTATAGGTTAGGAATTCCCCTTCGGCCAGTAGAAGCCCCCTTTCCTGTTCATGCCCTAGACAGCCGGCCGTTGGGGTCGGGGTTGATCAGAGAAGTCACAGCACCACTTAAGATGACTACGCAGGGGGGTCATGAGGAGATCATTCAGTTTTATCTGATTGACTCTCCTGCGTATCCCGTGGTGCTGGGGCTTCCCTGGTTAAGCGCCCATGATCCTACCATTGCGTGGCAACAGAGGGCTCTTATGGAGTGGTCTGCCCAGTGTGTAGGGAGATGTCTAGGTGTTTCCTTAGGGGCGACCTCGGTGGAGAGTCCGAACCAAGTGCCCGCAATGCGCATTCCCCCTGAATATGAGGATTTAGCACTTGTGTTCAGCAAAACGAGGGCAACACGGCTACCACCTCATAGACAGGGGGATTGTGCGATAGATCTCCAAACAGGAGCGGCACTTCCGCGGAGCCGTGTGTATCCCCTGTCTCAAGAGGAGACAGCGGCTATGGAGACTTACATAGCCGAGTCCTTGGCACAGGGATACATACGGTCCTCCACTTCCCCGGTTTCCTCGAGTTTCTTTTTTGTGAAGAAGAAGGACGGGGGTTTGCGCCCGTGTATCGATTACCGTAGTCTCAATCAGATCACGGTTAAGTACAGTTACCCTCTTCCACTGATTAAGACTATAACAGAATCATTACGCGGAGCGCGGTTCTTCACAAAGTTGGATCTCAGGAGCGCGTACAATCTGGTGCGCATTAGGGAGGGGGATGAATGGAAAACAGCATTTAGCACCACCTCAGGTCATTACGAGTATCTCGTCATGCCATACGGGTTGATGAATGCTCCTTCAGTCTTCCAATCCTTTGTTGACGAGATTTTCCGGGACATGCATGGGCAGGGTGTGGTAGTATACATCGACGACATCCTAGTGTACTCTTCTACACGAGCCGAGCATGTAGCCCTGGTGCGCCGAGTGTTGAGGAGACTGTTGGAGCATGACTTGTATGCCAAGGCAGAGAAATGCTTGTTCTTCCAGGAGTCCGTCTCCTTTTTGGGTTATCGGTTGTCTGCGTCTGGTGTGAAGATAGAGGTTGACCGTGTGTCGGCCGTGCGTAATTGGCAAACTCCAACCACTGTAAAAGAGGTGCAGCAGTTTTGGGGTTTTGCTAATTACTACCGGAGGTTTATCCGGGGCTTTGGACAGGTTGCAGCTCCCATTACGTCCCTGTTAAAGGGGGGTCCGGTTCGCTTGCAGTGGTCAGCTGAGGCGGACAGGGCATTTGTCAAACTGAAAAACCTGTTCACCTCGGCTCCGGTGCTGGCGCATCCGGATCCCTCTTTACCATTCCAAGTAGAGGTAGACGCGTCCGAGGCCGGTATTGGGGCAGTCCTGTCGCAACGGTCCGGCACGCCACCTAAGCTCCGCCCCTGTGCGTTCTATTCTAAGAAGCTCAGCTCGGCGGAGCGTAATTATGACGTAGGGGACAGGGAGCTGTTAGCTGTAGTCCAGGCCCTAAAGGTGTGGAGGCATTGGCTTGAGGGGGCTCAACACCCTTTCCTCATTCTGACTGACCACCGTAACCTGGAGTACATCCGGGCAGCTAGGAGATTGAACCCTCGTCAGGCTAGGTGGAACATGTTCCTGACCCGGTTTGTTTTTAAGATCACATACATCCCAGGGTCCCAGAACGGTAAGGCAGACGCCCTGTCCCGGCGGTATGACACAGAGGAGAGGTCCATTGAACCTACTCCCATACTGCCGGAGTCTTGTCTGGTGGCTCCGGTGGTGTGGGAGGTCGATGCGGAGATCGAGCGGGCACTGCGTACCGACCCTACTCCCCCCGAGTGTCCTGTGGGGCGGACGTACGTTCCGCTCGAGGTTCGTGATCGCCTTATCTATTGGGCTCATACATCACCCTCCTCTGGACATCCAGGTATTGGCCGGACAGTGCACTGCCTTAGCGTGAAATACTGGTGGCCAACGTTAGCTAAGGATGTGAGGGTTTATGTCTCCTCCTGCTCGGTGTGCGCCCAGTGTAAGGCACCTAGACATTTGCCCAGGGGAAAGTTACATCCCCTGCCCGTTCCACAACGACCATGGTCCCACCTCTCGGTGGATTTTGTGACCGACCTACCCCCCTCCCAGGGGAATACCACCATTTTGGTCGTTGTGGATCGGTTTTCCAAGGCCTGTCGTCTCCTCCCAATGCCGGGTCTCCCTACTGCCCTACAGACCGCTGAGGCCCTATTTACCCACATGTTCCGGCACTATGGGGTCCCCGAGGATATTGTGTCTGACCAAGGTCCCCAGTTCACCTCCAGAGTCTGGGGGGCGTTCATGGAACGCTTGGGGGTCTCGGTGAGCCTTACCTCGGGGTACCACCCAGAGAGCAATGGGCAGGTTGAACGAGTCAACCAGGATGTGGGTAGGTTTCTGAGGTCCTATTACCAGGGCCGGCCGGAGGAGTGGTCTAGGTATATCCCCTGGGCAGAGATGGCCCAGAACTCTCTCTGCCACTCCTCCACCAATTTAACACCTTTCCAGTGTGTTTTAGGGTATCAGCCGGTCCTGGCACCTTGGCACGAGAGCCAGATCGAGGCCCCTGCGGTGGATGAGTGGATTCGGCGCTCGGAGGAGACGTGGGACGCTGCCCATGTCCATCTGCAGCGGGCCATCCGTCGACAAAAGGCGAGCGCCGATCGCCACCGCAGTGAGGGACCGGTGTACGCACCGGGAGATCGAGTCTGGCTCTCGACACGAAACCTGCCCCTCCGCCTGCCCTGCCGGAAGCTGGGTCGGCGGTTTGTGGGGCCCTTTAAAGTCCTGAGAAGATTGAACGAGGTGTGTTACAGGTTACAACTGCCTATTGAGTACAAGAATATTAACCTCTCGTTCCATGTGTCTCTTCTCAGGCCGGTGGTAGCTGGCCCACTCCAAGAACATGAGATAGGAGAGACCCCTCCGCCCCCTTTGGACATCGAGGGGGCCCCGGCGTACAGGGTCCGGACCATCTTGGACTCGAGGCGCCGGATGAGTGGTCTCCAGTATCTCGTGGAGTGGGAGGGGTACGGTCCGGAGGAACGGTGCTGGGTGCCTAGGAGGGACATCCTAGATCCATCCCTCCTGACGGAGTTCCACCGTGGGCATCCCACGCGCCCGGGTCCGCGTCCTCCTGGCCGTCCCCGAGGCCGGGGTCGGCGCACGGCTGGAGCCGCGCGTCAAGGGGGGGGTACTGTCACGGATTCTGCCGAGGCTGCTCCTCCTCCTAGTTCGGGCAGGCTTCGGCGTTCGTCGTCCCCGGAGTACTAGCTGCCACCGTTGAATGTTTCTATGTGTGATTGCTTTTGTCTGTCTGTCACACCTGAGTCCGTTTGTGTCTGATTACGTGTTCTATAAGTTGCCTGTGTTGTATTGGTTAGGTTGTGTGTTGTTTTTCGCCTGTCCGTAGTGCTGCGTGTTTTTTCTCTGTTTTGTTGTTTTACGCATTGTTGCGTAATTGCTCGCCTCTGTCGTTTTGAGGCCGTTCTTTGTATCTTTGCCTTGTGGTTCACAAGTAAACTTTGTTGGACTAAGCTTCGGTGTCCTGCGCCTGACTCCCACACCACATACACCTCAGCCTTGACATTCCCATTTTGTATCAAAGTGTAATGGATTCATACTATAGTGTAGTTGGGAGCTTAAATGGAACATATTGGATGCCAACCACCATTAAACTCCACCGAAGAAGAAGAAGAAGAAGAAGAGTGTGCTCCAGAATCCTGCACCTGCACCCTCTACCTGGCTCCCACAGGTCCCCCTAATTGTTTTAACTCAACTGACACAAAAGTATTCTACCACCCACACTCGTAAAGAATACAAGATAAAATACTTCATAAATTGTAGTACAACACATGTTGTTTGCATGCTCAAATGCCCCTGTGGGTTTGTATACATTGGTCAGATGAAACGTGCTCTCAAATTAAGAATAGATGAACACAAAACAGCTATATGCACCAGAAATATGGACTATGTGATCTCGCGGCACTACGTGAATGCCAATCATGGCTTACCCTCTACCTTGAAATTCTGGGGAATTTAGAACGTTTATTTTTCCTCCAGGGTGTAATAATATTGCGAGGAAATTATTTCAGAGGCACTAGGATCGACTGCTTAGATTGTGTCGAGCAAAGGGTCTAAATCAGGGGTGTCAAACTCATTTTAGCTCAGGGGCCACATGGAGGAAAATCTATTCCCAAGTGGGCCGGACCGGTAAAATCATGGTATATATAACTTAAAATCAACAACTTCAGATTGTTTTCTTTGTTTTAATACTATCAACATAAAACATAAAGCTGGAGCCTGAGGACAGTGTGTCCAAAATAGTACAAGCACAACATCACTATTAATCATAAAACATCTCAAGTTTATTTGAAAATTCTAAAGAAAAAGAACACACAAACACACAATGCCTCAGTGATTCACAGAACTGTTTCACAGATCACAGAACTATATCAGGGTGTCATTTCTCAGGCAGAAATGTAGATACAAATAATGAAATCCTGTTCCCCAAACAAGTGCAAGAACCACAGAGTCAAGAATAGGTTAAATATACAAATAAAATAAAATCAATTAAAAACAATAGCACATCAACATAAAAACATATAAACATAAAGCTGGAGCCTGAGGACAGTGTGTCCAAAAGCACATCACTATTAATCATAAAACACCTCAAGCTATTTGAAATTCTGAGGACAAACAAAACACAAACACACAATGCCTCAGTGATTCACATAAGTATATCACAGATCACAGAACTATATCAGGGTGTCTCATGCAGCACTTTAAGTGGGGTTGCATAGTTTATTTGACTCCTGATACCTGGCATCTTTTAGCTTTCACCAGCGCATCAATATCAGGCGTCACATCCTGAGTGGCAGCCAACTTCAGGATGTGATTCAAGTGCTTGTGCGTGAGCCTTGAGCGCAGCTTTGTTTTATTTATGCTCATTACAGAGAACTTGCTCACAAAGATATGTGGTTCCAAACATGCACAACAGTTTTGCAGCGAGGGCTGTCAAGTTGGGGTAACCTGGCAAGAGATTCTGATAAAATGTGTCCAAGCCAGCTGCGGCAAATTTGCCCTTCAAATCCGAGTCATACTGCAAGTATATTATTTCAAGTTGGATGCTGACGGGCAGATCAGAGGGATTCACGGTTAATGGCGAACAAAAAACGTTGAAGTCTTTCTCCAGTTCACCAAAAATCTGAAAGCGTTGCTCAAACTCCCTTAACAGTCCCGTTATTTTATATTTGAACCGCTTCATGTCTGCCACATGTTGGGTCGCGCACACATTTTTCAGACAGGGGAAGTGAGCTGCATCACCACCAGCGAGTTGCGTCTCCCACAATGACAGCTTCAACTTGAAAGAACGTATGCTGTCATAATATTGCGTGGCAACTTTGTTGCACCCTTGCAGCTGTTTGTTCAAGTTATTCAGGTGCTCTGTAACATCCACCATAAATGCAAGGTCCTGCATCCATTCTGCGGAATGAAATTCTAACACTGGTTTGCCCTTTTCTTCCATGAACTGTTCAATTTCTTCTCGTAAATCAAAGAAACGCCTCAGCACAGCACCTCGGCTTAACCATCTTACCTCAGTGTGGTATGGCAGGCCATAGATGTGGTCTTTCTCTCTGAGAAGGCTGTCAAACTGACGTTGATTCAGGCTTCTGGATCGGATGAAATTAACAGTTTGGATAATATAATAATAATAATATAATAATAATATAATATATTAATATAATAATAATATAATAAAAATAATAACCACCTTCATGACGTTATCCATCTTTAATGACTTGCAACACAAAGCCTCCTGGTGCAAAATACAGTGAAAAGTCCAAAAATCACGTCCTCCATTTGCAGATTGCACTTTCTCTCTGAACTTTGTCACAACGCCTGCTTTTTTCCCGATCATTGAGGGCGCACCATCTGTAGCCAGGCTGACAGCGCGGGACCAGTCCACTCCGACCCTGTCCAGCGCGTTGACAAGTGCAGTGAAAATATCAGCTGCTGTCGTTGTATCTGTCATCGGCACCAACTCCACGAACTCCTCGGTGACGGTCAATGTGTCATCAACTCTGCGGATGAAAATGGCCAGTTGTGCAACATCTGTAATGTCCGTGCTTTCATCAATTGCAACCGAAAACGCAATAAATTACTTTACGTTTTGCTTCAACTGGCTGTCCAAATCCACTGAAAGATCGGAAATCCTGTCTGCAACTGTGTTTCTTGTCAGGCTGATATTTGCAAAAGCCTGGTGCTTTTCAGGGCACACAATCTCCGCTGCCTTCATCATGCATGTTTTTACAAATTCACCCTCACTAAATGGTTTTGAAGCCACTGCGATTTCATTAGCAATGAGGTAGCTAGCTTTCACTGCAGCGTCACTGATGTCTCGGCTGTGAGTAAACACAGACTGCTGTTTCTTCAGACCTGCCAACAGTTCATTCACCTTCTCTCTTCTCCGCTGTCCTTGAAAGTTGTCATATTTGTCGGCATGAAGACTCACATAGTGGCGACGAAGGTTATATTCTTTCAGCACTGCAACATGCTGTGAACACACCAAACATACAGCTTTCCCATTCAATTCCGTGAATAAATAGAAGGATGACAATTTTTCTTGGAACACTCTGCACTCTGCGTCCACTTTTCTCTTTTTTGACAGAGACATATTGGGGCAATGAGGGTGCCAAAGCACATAATGTTAAAAGTAGAAGCCGTAATAAATATCGCGGGCAAAACAAAGTAGCTCATCCGGACTGGCTGCACTTGCTTGACCTATTTGCTCTGCCCCGGTATAAACAGTTTGCTTGCTTAACACAATTGCTATTGCGCCATCCAGTGGACACAATTGGAACAGCAGTTTCTTTTATTGAAAAATTGCAGCTCATTTTTATACTTTACAAAATCATCTCGCGGGCCGGATTAAACCCGTTTGCGGGCCTGATCCGGCCCGCGGGCCGGACGTTTGACACCCCTGGTCTAAATGAACAGCTCTCTTTCTCATATTTTTTGTAATGTTTTTCTTTGTTTATTTCTATGTCTTTTGTTATTCAAGTGGAATGTATGCGTAGGAATCTAAAATGATGATCATACTCTTGTTTGAATACCTTGTGTAGTTGCAATTACTACTGACAGTATTTACATTATTGACATGAGTGACATGACGAGTGGGACACTCCCCTGCGAGGGTATATACAGTGAGGGAAAAAAGTATTTGATCCCCTGCTGATTTTGTACGTTTGCCCACTGACAAAGACATGATCAGTCTATAATTTTAATGGTAGGTTTATTTGAACAGTGAGAGACAGAATAAAAACAAAAAAATCCAGAAAAACGCATGTCAAAAATGTTATAAATTGATTTTTGCATTTTAATGAGGGAAATAAGTATTTGACCCCTCTGCAAAACATGACTTAGTCCTTGGTGGCAAAACCCTAGTTGGCAATCACAGAGGTCAGACGTTTCTTGTAGTTGGCCACCAGGTTTGCACACATCTCAGGAGGGATTTTGTCCCACTCCTCTTTGCATATCTTCTCCAAGTCATTAAGGTTTCGAGCCTGACATTTGGCAACACAAACCTTCAGCTCCCTCCACAGATTTTCTATGGGATTAAGGTCTGGAGACTGGCTAGGCCACTCCAGGACCTTAATGTGCTTCTTCTTGAGCCACTCCTTTGTTGCCTTGGCCGTGTGTTTTGGGTCATTGTCATGCTGGAATACCCATCCACGACCCATTTTCAATGCCCTGGCTGAGGGAAGGAGGTTATCACCCACGATTTGACCGTACATGGCCCCGTCCATCGTCCCTTTGATGCGGTGAAGTTGTCCTGTCCCCTTAGCAGAAAAACACCCCCAAAGCATAATGTTTCTACCTCCCTGTTTGATGGTGTGGATGGTGTTCTTGGGGTCATAGGCAGCATTCCTCCTCCTCCAAACACGGTGAGTTGAGTTGATGCCAAAGAGCTCCAATTTGGTCTCATCTGACCACAACACTTTCACCCAGGTCTCCTCTGAATCATTCAGATGTTCATTGGCAAACTTCAGACGGACCTGTATATGTGCTTTCTTGAGCAGGGGGACCTTGCGGGCGCTGCAGGATTATAGTCCTTCACGGCGTAGTGTGTTACAAATTGTTTTCTTGTTGACTATGGTCCCAGCTGCCTTGAGATCATTGACAAGATCCTCCCGTGTAGTTCTGGGCTGATTCCTCACCGTTCTCATGATCATTGCAACTCCATGAGGTGAGATCTTGCATGGAGCCCCAGGCCGGGGGAGATTGACAGTTATTTTGTGTTTCTTCCATTTGCGAATAATCGCACCAACTGTCACCTTTTCACCAACCTGCTTGGCAATGGTCTTGTAGCCCATTCCATCCTTGTGTAGGTCTACAATCTTGTCCCTGACATCATTGGAGAGCTCTTTGGTCTTGGCCATGGTGGAGAGTTTGGAATCTGATTGATTGATTGCTTCTGTGGACAGGTGTCTTTTATACAGGTAACAAGCTGAGATTAGGAGCACTCCCTTTAAGAGTGTGCTCCTAATCTCAGCTCGTTACCTGTATAAAAGACACCTGGGAGCCAGAAATCTTTCTGATTGAGAGGGGGTCAAATACTTATTTCCCTCATTAAAATTCAAATCAATTTATAACATTTTTGACATGTGTTTTTCTGGATTTTTTTGTTGTTATTCTGTCTCTCACTGTTCAAATAAACCTACCATTAAAATTATAGACTGATAATTTCTTTGTCAGCGGGCAAACGTACAAAATCAGCAGGGGATCAAATACTTTTTTCCCTCACTGTAGGTGCCTCCCACCCTTTTCATATTCAAGGCTCTGATGAAGGTGATTCACGCCGAAACGTAAGCCTATTGTTTGTTTGTCCCGTCAATAAATCTTTCAGATCTACCCAGCAACAGAGTGCTCCTTTTTCTTTATTCTCTCGGACAGTCACCAGTTGAAGTATCCTGGGGTAAGGAATGTTTTTTGAGATTTTCAAGTCCCTCAGTCGAACACCTGATTCACCCTTTTTCGTTT